TTTTTTTTTTTTTTTTTTTTTTTTTTTTTTTTTTTTGAGATGAGGTAAAGAAAAGAATGAAAAAAAATGGATAAATACAAAGAATTTATGTTAAACAAGGACAGCCATCTTTCACACTACAGGGACCAGGGCCCACAAGCACCATCCAACAACACGACAGACAGCAGGTGGAATGACTCACTTTGGACAACTCACATCATGTCTGTCTGCTCAGGCTATCTGGCCTAAGAGTAGCTGATATATAAAAGAAAGTAAAATGATTTATTGTAACATGATGAAGAATTACTGAGCTTCTCAGCAACTTAGTCAGAGCAAGGGTTCAGCAAATTAGATTACTAAGCAATAACAGCTTTTCTTTTCCCACTTAATGTAATTTTTTTGTACTAATTCTGTCTGCCAACAATGGCCCCAGGCTTCTAAAGGTCAAAGTTTGCCTGCAGTCTGCATCAGTCACAGTGACAGCGCTGAATGAACTGGAATAGTTAATTAAGAGTTAGGCCCACAGTTACCATGGGCATGGAAGTCAAATGCGGAAATGTTAGAAATTTCTGTAAGTATGTGTCACAGAAATTAAACCAAAGAATAAATATTAGTTGTGGAATGGGAAGAGGAAATCAGCCATGGCTGATATCTCGTAGCTGCTGGACAAATGACAGATTGGGTAAGTCTGCTAAGAAACATGAAATAAGTTCAGGGGGAGAAAATGAAGTCTTATGATGATTAAGGTCTTTGATTTTGACTTTTTGTTTTTGGTGGTAGTAAGGGGGGATAACACAATAAAGAAAAGGATTTCCTACAGACACAAAGACATGTGAACTATGACAGCACAGTGCTTCTCAAGCAAAGGAAAAGAAAAAACTTTGAAAGAAAATAAACAGTCTGAATCATGGAAAGTTGGATGGTTAGAGCATTCCTAGTAAATCACTTTATCTACAGAAGAAAGAATGGAGTGACTACTGAAATGAGACTGACCACTGTGAGGCTGCTGCATTATATGCAAGGCTTGGAGGAGTATAAGAAAAAAGTTGTTTTGGAGAAGATTGTACATTTTTTGTTGTTGTTGTTTGTTTGTTTTTTCATAATTAAAGCTGCAGCTTATCCTAGAAAATTCAATCTTCTCTGGAAAATACTGTTTTCAATTAAAAAGTAATTGCATTTTCTCATGAAAGAGTTTTGTCTTCAACTTTAGAAAGCAGAGTAATAATTTCCGAATAAATTTGAAGTAATTTGCAAATCATTTTGTAACTCTGTTACTGTTAGCTCCTCTTCATGTATACTGATTTAAACAGAGATGAGGGTTGTTTGAAAGGTCTCCTTAAGCTTTGATTAAACAACTTTGTAGTTTTGCAATTTCATATATGTTCTAAGGCTTTTTCTTGCAATGGATTTTAGCTGTGCAGAACATATGGCATTTATAAAAGTAGACAACACATGGACCACATGCTGGCATTCATTTCCCTCATGAAAGTGATTTAATTCTATAATTTTAATTCTCTTTTCTTTTGCTAAGCAGATACCAAAATGTATCTGATAATCCAAAATGAGTTTTCTATGATATACTGCAGAGTTAAGCATACTAAAATATATTTAAATTGGTTTGATGAGGCAAATTTTGTTGCCCATGATCAGGTAATTATTTGAAATCTTTCCATAGCCTGTAGCAAGATTACTGTGGGAATGTAAAAATATAAGAAAATTGTTAAGCGTTTCTGCTTGACACTGCTTTGGTTTTGAACAGCAAATTATTTCAGCATTGTATAACTTCCGTTACCAATGGGGTTTGCTACAGACCTCATGTTGTTTTCCAAAAAGCAGTATGCAAGTACTTTTTGAATGTGGAAACATTTCATTTGCAAATTGTGAACCACTTGCCCGCTGAGTCTACTTCATGACCGCTAGTTATGTTTTAATTGTGCCCATTAAAAATCATGCTGAAAAAATTTACATTTGATAGGCAAAGTTAAGTTTTACTCCCATACTTGTCTCTCTGTAGGTTGCTAGAGGAAAGCATAAGGAAAGTAAGAAAACAAGAGAATGAAAATAGAAACTACAGTTCAGTTAAAAAGGAAACTTGAAATAAAATCTGGAAACGTGAGCTCTTTATCAAAGATTTATTGTTCCAGTAATACTAAAGTGATCTTAACGACTCATCTAACAGAAACTGCGAGATATTTACTGATGAACTGCACTGTAGTTAAAAAAAGCAACTAGAGGATGTAACAACAAAATGTTAGGTAAGTGATGACACCCTTTATGCTGACAGAACTAAACTGTTCTAACTTTTAATCTCATGATTTTCCTACAGGAAATGATCTACCATAAAGCTGCACTATACTATAGATCTGTTTGACGCTGGATACAATTTTCTGTGCTGCGGTATCCAAAGGTGTCAAGATGCCTTGCATTGCTTTAGTACCTAATCTGTTCCATGAGCAGGTTTTTCTCAGCAAGCTTTAGAGTCAACCTTACATTGCATAGACATGATACCTCTAAGTGATATATATCTTGAAGATGGACTCTCGGACCATGTGGTGTCAGTCCTGTAATAGTATATTAAGATTTATGCCACCTGTGTTAAAAACATGGATAATTATTGGTAAATACTGTTACGGCAAAGGCATTACTATAATATAGTGCAGTTTTACAAGCTGACATTGGTAATACTGCATTTCTCAAGCTGACAGAAATTTTGAATGTATGGCTAAGGTATTGCAACTTGAGTTTCTACCTAGGGAAAAGAAGGGATTTGGAGCAAGCCAAGAAAAGCGGTTTTATTCAGGAAGTATAAGCACACCTGGTGAGTTAAACACAGGAGCTGAAGGGGCATTACATACAACAGTTTCAGCGAGCAATGTGTTATAGGGGTTGTTAGTGCCGTGTGGTCGAAGAAGAGGGTTTGTTAGTAGGTAATTGCCAGTCATTCCTGAAGCAAAAGAAACAGAAAAAAATGTCAGTTCTTTAATTTTATTCTGACAGTTTCAATAAAGAATATTTTTATTCATCATGAATCATGTAGAACCTGTCAAATGTAATTCAGTTGAAAATTTCTGAGTATATCTGAGCTATATGTTTGAAACGGGAGTAGGAAAATACAGTTAGATTCCAGTAATTCACAGGTGCTGTCCAAATCCCCAAAGTAAACATCTGGTGAGAGTGACATTTACTAATGTACACAAAATTGGTGTTCATAAGAATACCAATTAAATGGGTAGAGATCAAGGTACTACATAAAGCTACTGCAACTTTTAAAATGGTATCACGGAATGTTTCTGTCCAGAATGGAGGGAACTGAGTTTCTTAAATTTAAAGGTATTGAAAAATCTCTTATGACAGGATCAGAGCTGTTATTCACTTTATGACAAACACACGGAGAGTGGAAGGGAATCGTGTTTTCAAACACAGAGTAGATGACAAACTGCAAGCATATCTTAGTATACGCAAAAGTATGCATGCTGAGGGGAAAGCAAAATATTTGCTCTAAGAAATCAGAGCATTCACGTTTTCTCCCGGGACATTCATGCTACAAATTTATCTGCCAGGTTTTAAAAAAGAATTTCTTGAATGACAAATTTATTTAAACAATCAGTTCACAAACAATGTAATGCGAAGCATGATACTACAGGAATGAACGGACCTTTTAAAACTCAGTTTAAATGTTAGTGCAACACCATTTAAAGAATTCAGAAGAATTAGAAGAAAAAAAAAAAGCATCTTTTGAGATCTAAAAAGACAGTTAATCTCTGACTTCTAGATACTGAAAGAAAAGCTGTCTGGAAAAGTGACAAAGAAAACTTACTTTAAACAATGAAGTTAAATTTCTACTTCCTTTTGTGTTGCACTGCACAGCAACAAATCAGAATGGAAATAATAAGCCAGCTATATCTATATACTGTATTTTTATTTGGCAATGGAAAAAGTAATATTATATTCTATATTAATGCTTGGTACTGTACACCTGGTACAGAAGCAGAAAAATCTAAGATGCAAAGATCTAGGGCCTGATAATGATTGTTTGTGTCAGTGAATAACTACAAAACGGTTCACTGTAGCTTTTTTCAGTGGTAATCTAATTCCTACAAGAAAAACTAACTGAAATACTTCTTGTTGTGTACCATGTTTAATATCGTTATTTGAATTACAATCTCGAATTATTTATAGTATGCTAAATTTGTTATCCAATCCAAAGTATTTCTCTTTTACTTTAAGGTGCTGATTTTTATTTTAAAGAAAACACTAATTACTAGATAATCACTAAACTTTTCTTACAGGTATTTACCCCTGAGATAGCAGAATTATTGTAATTGAATAACAACAGCATCAATTAATTTTTTTTAGCCATCATGGAGCATCTCAAGTGATGAGACTGGAGCTCCACAGCAGGGAAAAGCCTCCAAGATCTGTGCTCTGAACCACTTGAAGCTGTAGCATGGGCAAAGTGTACCTCCTATGGTGAAATCCCAGACTTTTATATTTATATCATATTTGTGGGCTTTTAAGAAATGAAATAAGAAATACATTTTCTACTTAGGATATATAAATATATTTTTTTAAATTTTGCCAGAAGAACATAAAGATTCAGGAGGGAACAATAAGACACACAAGTTGTCTTAGATATTTCTGTAAGCCAGTAGGATCATGCTTTTTGAAATCTTGTCTTTTGCCAAATACTGCGCTTTTTACTTCCAAAGCAAACATGAGTTAAGTACAGGTCTCCACCACCAAATCTTGAAAAAAGCACAAGGGAGAAAATTTGCCATTTGTGGTTCACAAGGGTTTTACAGTAGTCCTGACATTGGTAAATTTTCTGTTTGAAACTTTTTAAGCCAAGCAGGAACTGGTCAGAACTACGTTTGTCTCTTAGGGATGTGAGTGGAACAATAGGCTGTGAGTTTGGCTTTCACACTCTTCGCCTCCATTACTTAAATTGTTGTTTTTTTTTTTGTTTTTGTTTTTGTTTTTTTAAAAGGGGTGGGGAAAATGGAGAAAAAAGAAGGGACATTTTGTGTTGATTAATACCCTCGTCTTCTAAGTGAACATGAAAATGCAGTTACAGATTTCAAAGTCTAATCGAGATAAGAAACTTAAAAGTTTTGGCTTCTGTGCCTGAAAATCTGGATCCTACCCCATATGACAGATACAATGCTCTTTGAAATAAAAAAGATAAATGCTTTACAGACATCTTTTGCATAGAAATGATATCAATTAGATTTCACTGGGAAAATTTCTGCACCTAAAAATCATAGTCAAAATATGCATTAAAATGTTACTGCACTCATATTTCTGTTTCAGATTTAACCTATAAAGGTTAGAAAAGATTCAAAATTATGATCTTGCTTTTAAGTTAAATTATTGATGAAACTTATTTAAATGCTCTCCCATGAATGGAGGAATTCAACTTCTATATCAGGGGGCCAGCTGAGGGAACACGGCTTTAAAATGTGCTGGTGGATGACTTTAAAACTCTGCTTTTAGAGTACATTTGTTACAGATTTTTTTTTTCAACACGTTCTTTTCAATTCTTCTGTGTTAAATTAAATTATATAAAATCTGTAAAAAATTTGTCTTCTAAAACTGAAATGTTCCCAGTGACTGACCTTGATTAAGTGTTGAAGTGCTGTTGATGTCACCTGAGATAAAAGAAGATTCAGATTGTTTTCTCACAGTGTCATTCCACATCCTCCTTATACGACTCTGTTAATGTAAAGCAGTAAGACAGAGCGCATTAAGTTACAGAAGATTTTTTCCTACTTGTGTACTATTATTTATTCTCATTTATTTTGCACTAAAGTAAGCCATTCTTATAGTAGAGAGCAAAGCTCCATCCTCTGTTATTACAATTCTAATTTATTAAATTTCATTTAGATGAAACATGATAGTATAAACCTTCCAATAAACCAGCCCAAAATTATAAGAAAAATAAGGCGTTTGCATTAGACCAAATTAAAATAAAATCTTTAAAAAGAAATCAATTCTAGCATGCAGAACTATGTATTTGCTACCTAAGTGATAATAATGAGAAGACAATTACTACTTCTGATTGGAGCAGATCTCAGGGGGCTTTTTATAAATAAGGTTAATTAAAAGATGTTGTCAAAATCTTTGTTACCTGAGTGCCAGAGGAATAGCGAGCACTAGTTCTTGTTGTTGATGCCTTCACTGAACTGTGAGGACTCTCAGTTGGTAGTCCACCACAGCAGTAGGAATGTCGGAAGCATTTGCCATATTCCTTACGTACCTATGGAGAAAAAAAATACGTTAGCGCAAAAAATAGAGTGACAAACACCTCTATTGACAAAGAAGACATCAATCTTGCACTGACAACACTCAACTGCTTTTTGAACAAATACATAATTCTTGCCTACTGAAATGATGGCCTTTAGCAAAATTAGATATTTTGCCTTATTTAAATGTCAGCATTATTGGTTAGCCAGCATTTTTGAATTATTTCTGAAGTATACATGTATTTCATTTAGACATATATGAATAATTGTTGCTGAGTTGTTACAGGATTATTTTTGTTTTGTCTTCATATTGTGGATTAATACAGTTGTTTACCTGAATGGAATATTGGCTGAAAATAGTCATTTTTTGCAATAGTTTTTGGTGCACAAGCCATAGAAAGCCTGTCTTCCCATCTTGGCATACAAGAAAGGCTGAGGCAACGAGCCTTTGAGCTTCTCAGTACTGCCCATTTAAGTTACTCCTTTTAGGAAAGCATGCCAAGAAGACTGTATTTAGTCTAAACTGCAAGGACTGTGAGCATTTTTTCATATGAAGTTACTCTGGGTAACTCAAATAGTCGCTAGTTCAGCAGCTGCAGCAGTAGGGCACCAGCAAAGGTCAGAGCCAGGAGTTGAAACGTACAGGCTGGGAAACTAAGCATCTTTTGTTTTTAGGACCAAAAAGTAGAATCTTTGCTATTGTCTCTTCTGACCATAGAAGTGTGAACACACTTGTTAAGTATATGAAATTTCTGTCTAACAGAACAACATTATTCTGATGGCATAATAATTTTAGTATTTGACCTGCACTGATTTACCTTCTGTTTCCATTGAGCTACTGGAAACTTTAGTTTTGTAATGTGCATTAACATTGTAATGTGCATTAACACTGTCATAGAAATAATCTGGATGATATTACAGAGCTTTTAATTCTCTCACATTTGATGACTGCTACATTGCTATTTATTTTTCAATAACACAAAAGAGCACATGTATCCTGGCAACATGATCAGTGAAAGGACGCGCTGGACAAAACTTGTAAAGATGCCAAATATTACATTCACAAATCTTCTGCCAGATTCTTGATAATCCTGGAGTCTCATGTGCATCGATGAGACTTCTAAATTCCTCTGAAAAGTGACATTTCAGCTAATCTGTAAATTCTGCTTGGCCTACAGAATATATGGCACAGAAATAAACTTGTGTGTGTGTAAAACTGAGAAATGAAGGAAGGAAAAAGGCAAAAAATTAACTGTGAATTTACATAAGCCAAACACTGTTTTCAATATTACAATAACTTTATCACCACTAATGTGGTGTTTCCATAAACCATGAAGTTCAGGAAAATTTGAATAGTTAATGCTTTAATTTCCACTTGAGGACAACAACTCATCTATTTAAAAGTATATCATATATATTTTAAGTTAACTCCTACCAATATCAGCACAAAACACACATACAAAAAGGAAAACAGGAAAAACAGAAAGGCCTGGACATAGAATTGTAACCTTTATCTTCACATTCTCAAAAATGAAAGTCTGTAACACTTAAGAAAACACATTCCTGACCATTAATGGATATTAAATGCTCCAGAACACTATATAGTAGAGACAATAGCAATCAGAACTATATTTTCATCCAAATGCCACCCTCCAGGGCTGGTTTTGCCTAATGCCTATATTGCTGTGAATGTGCATTATCCGTCACTACAGCGCGTTCCTCTGTCATTATTTCTAAATTATAGCTTGTTGGAAATAGTTGGAAACAACGGCACTATCATCCCGTCAGAACTGCAAACATAATAGTTTTCACTTTCACAATTCTATTTCTCTGTTCAATTTAGTGACCAACTAGTAATAACAGAATAAAAAGACTATATTAGCTATGCAGACAGAGGATCAGATAATATCCAGTCAAACTCACTGAAACTTAAAAATCTTAAATGGCAGCTTTAACATTCTTCCAGGTATAAATCTTATTGCTCCAGGTTATGCTTTTTCACACTTGACTGGTATTTTAATATTGCTTTTTGCTGACTCCACTTAATAAAAAAACAATGCATAGCTGTAAAAAGAAATAGAATCAGAATCTGTTTTTTATTTTCAAGCCCAACACAAGTAATAAAAAAACAACATGATATGAAACCTTAATCTAGAAATTATTTACATTTTGAAAATTTCTTCCCTCTTTTCTTATGATCACTCTCCTCTCCAAGTGTGTTTTTATTATCTCAAAATGAAAGCTATACCATTTTCCTCTGGATAAAATCCATTCTGTCTTCCACATCTTTTCCCAAAACATGTCTGAAAGCCATTGTCTACACCAAATCTAGAGACGCTGGCACTGTTAAGAGCTGAGAACACGCAAGAATGTGATTTTGCCCTTATGTAATAACCTTTTATCCAAGAATCTTTAACCACTTTATAAATATCAGTTAAATATTTCTCTGGTGAACTAATTATAAAGGGAGTTAATAACTGTTAGGCCTCCTGCCTAAAAATGGTACAAATATTTAGAACCTAAATATTGCAAGTTGGGTGTTGCCAAACAACGGACTTACTGCATTTTATCTTATGGTCTGTGGTGGGCTTTTTCTGACGTACACATTTCCCCTCTGCTCTCAACTCTTTTTTTTTATTTGCTGTGCTTTCTATGAGCATTTTACTTTTATCCTTCATTGGAGCATCTCTAAGGCATGAAAACATTCTCCATTCTCAGTCTGGGACACAGAGGGAGAGTGGGAAACCTGATCCGGCCTAGCTGTGTCCTTCAATTCCATCTCACTTGTCTGTTTATCTCTCTTCTATGAGCTTCCCTCTATTCAGCAGATCTGGGCAAAGGGGGCCTGAACTAATTTAGAGCATCTCTTCATTAGGGAAGGTAGTTGCCAGGGGATTTCAGTTTCTCCAGCTAAGAGCACTTAGCTATTGGTTTGCAGGGGGAGGCAAATGTTTGAAAACAAGTAGTCATGCTGGTGTACTTAGTAAACTCCCCTCATTACCAGTTGTCTGCAGTTAATGGCTACTTTTTCTTTAGGTGTGCTGAAGTTCACAGTGAAATTAATTTTCAGATCTGATTTAATTTTGTAATGAACAAGCGCTCGCAGCATAATCCCTGCCTATCACCTGTAGTTTTATGTGGCAGCTTAATAGGACCTCATGAGAGGTCTTTGCCTTGATCTGCGAGAATGTTTCCAGGCTGAGATGGGCTGATACTGTAAAAGATTCCTTTTTTTGCAGTGCTGCAGGCAGGATTTGATTCATAAGTGCATAAAGACTTTTGGCTGTGGATTCAAAATTATACATACCGCATCACAAATGTTAAACAATACACCTTCTGTGTTTTTGTCCCAAAGTCTCTAAACTTTAAAGCCCAAGTTGGAAATACTGCATCCATTTTAAACTCATACAGGCCAAAAAGCAGTTAAATGACTCTCAGAAGCACATGCAGCAAGAACTGTTTTCGATCCTAGTCTCTTCCTTAAACTTCTTCAAAATACTCCTATTCTCAAAATGTACTCTATTTTTTCAAGAAATATATGTGGTATTTTTAAGGACATATAGAGCACACGCCTCTGTTTGTAGTAACTTACTTTCTTTTGAAGGGCACAATGAAAGATGAAAATAAACATTCCTTGGAAAGCATTAAATACTGTGAAGAGATACGTCATCACAACTGTTCCCTCATTGATAAACAGTAGGCCAAATGACCACGTTAGGCCAAGAAGACACAGGAGAGCAAATGCACCCAGGACCCAGGATCTGTAAAAGAAAATTAATTTTACTAACATTACTTATAAGACTGCATGTTGCCAAATCCAATATTAACATTTCAGTTCCTTCAGTTGACTTTTACTAAGTTCATATTCAATTGTAAAAATTCCTTGGGTTTAACCTTTCATCTATTAAAGAAAGAACAATTCCATTTGGTACTTTTAGTCTCCAGCGAAAACAGCAAGAGTAGATATGACCTTTTACTTTCTCAAGAACTGCATAGGATGTCAAAAATACTTTGAAATGTCGAAGTATAGTGCAAACCCCAACTACTCCATTGCCTTATCTGCTATTACAAAAGAGATTGATAAATCTGGCTTAGCCACTAATCACAGCATAGATTTTAAACAGTGGTGCTGCTAAATGACACCAAATAATGTAGCACAAATACACAAAGGTTAAACAGCAGATTAAGAGCCTAGAGCCCAAATCTTTAATGCTCTGATAAACTCAGCTAAACTGAAGCTAGATGATCTAACTTCTGCATGAAGAAACTCTGCTGAAATGTGGCAAAAATATGGATATTGCTCTATAGAATAGTGTAAAAAAGATTCCATCATGAATAGGTTAAGGAAAAGGAACTGTAGAGAACAGCACAGAATGAAAGGGAAAGGGAATTTAGTCAGTGAATTCCACATCTAACTAATGATCTTACTTGATAAATGGCTTATTATCTTCATAGCTAGAAAGCATTATAAGCAGAAAAGAGAAACAAAATTATTAGACAGAATTGAAACAGAAATTAATAAGAGCATTTTTAATTGTCTATAAAAATAAGTCAAAATTAGGAAATTCAAAATGCAGAGGCAAGCAATTTAAAATTATAAAGGCATATAATAGTTAAAAATTCTTTAGCAAATCAGGTATCTCAAAACTAGTTAATTAAAATTAAGGGCAATCCACAATATTGACCGAGTTTGTAAAGTTAAAAGTCATGCCAGAAATTTGTTAATGTAGGGTTCTATCTTACCCAGGTAAGTCCGTATTATAGTAGCCATCACAAACACGGTAATTACTGGTGTGGATGAGAAGACAGAAAGAGGAAAAGGAAGAAAAGAGAGAGATGCTAAAGATTAGCTCTCTCTCTCATCATGCAACATGCAATGAAGCTGATACTGACCTATCCATAACATCTAGTCACAATGTTAGCCTTAGTGAAAATCTCCCTTTGCCATTTTCAAAATTCAAAGCAAATCTCTAAGACCCTTTCATATCCAACCCTTAGTATTATAAAGTTGCACCATCCCTTCAGTGTTGATAACAAGAACCTTCAGTACAACATAAAGCTATAAGCTAAAGAAGCAAGAGCTGTCAAAACCTCGTTAATTATATAACACTTGCATTACTTTGCAAAAAGGATACTGCATTACAGCACCAAGATAAAGTAAACATTTGCTAAATTAGCATGAAAACAGCAGATAATCTTCAAGTTAACAATAATAATAGAGTCAATTCTCTTGGGAGAACAGGATTATGAGTAGAAACTGCTCAGAATCCTTAAATCAAAAAGTCATTTAACAAAATAAACTTAATATAATCATATCAGTCATGCAAACAGGAACATCATTTTTGAACTGCATTTTAAATGCAAATGAAATTACTACAGTGCAGTGGTATTTCCATGAAACAGTTTCTTGGCACTACTTCCAGGCTGAAATTATCTAATTTTGACCAGCATTTGTGACATTACAGAAACAATGTGACGAAAGCAGGATTGGTTCTGTTTGCTTCTAATTGACATCTGCAGTTGCTGGGAGAGAATGGCATGTGCTACTAATGGAAAGTAGCCTTCAATCAGTTCAGCAATCAGAAAATAATCACAGTTCTCATACTTGAACACAAAGCACTTACTTAATGTTTTCCAACCTGCTAGAGTCTGGTTTCAAAGTGTTTGAGTGCTTCACCATTTTGCACAATGTGATCACCAAGAAGATAAGATTCAGCTGTCAAAACAGATAAGAATGAAATTAAACTACTTCAAGTGAAAGGTTGAATAATAATGATGTTACAGACTAAACAAAACCTCCATAGTTTATTTTCTAATATGTAGAGAAACTGAGTAACTTTATCAGAATGTCTGCAAAAAGTGATTGCAAATACAGATGAAGGGCAAAAATGTTTTAAATTATTGTTTCACTTAATTTTGCTGAATTGACCAGTGCTATGAACCAGCCATATTCAGCTCATATCCAACATGTGTCAGTGTCCATCTAGCTCCATCTTCCAGCGTGCTGCATTCAACCCCTGTTCACCTCCACCTCTAAACTCTGGCATTGCTTTCCATCTGTGCTATACCAGTTGACTTTGCACAATCTCATTCTGCCCTCAGAAGGTTTTTCATCTTTGCTGGTTTCACCCTTTTTTTTTTTTTTTTTTTAAATTCCCTTTTTATTGTCACAAATCCCACTGAGGTCTTGAAAAGAGCTAAAATGTAACTGAAAAAAATAGAAAAGAAAAAGAAATATAAAGATGTAGCAAATGCATCAAATTTAACAAAGCCATAGGTATATGCTGTGGGTATACCCTCCCTACTGCCCACTCTCATTCTGTAGTCTGGATTCTGTTAAAGACTGCATGCCACTTGAAAGAAAGGACTATGCTGTCTTATTCTTGCATTACATATAGACACCAAGGAAGATATTGAAAACAGTTTTTTATATTATTGTTTCTTTATTTCACATATCTCCTATTGTGAAATGGCACAACAGATATCAGAGGCACTGTGTGATTTCAAACCATGTGAAGAATCCCAGAAAACCAAATAGAAGGATGCCTGCAAGAATGGGTTGAAACATTGTAAACAGTCTGAATAATTAGCATTTGATGTCCTTTGTCATGCAAACAATTCAAATAAAATTCTGTGTTTGAAAACAGCAAAAGCCACATCCTTTTGTGAAGAAAAAAATACATCCCTATCTTTTAGTACAACAGTACACAAACACCTAACCCAAAAACTAATAGAAGACAGGAGAATATGCTTGGACATATTAAATAGATAGGAATTATAACCCCATTCTTTGAATTTTCCCTATGTATCTTTAAATGCTGACTAACGCAGAATCATCAAGATCATACTTCTAATTCGGGTAGCCTTTGGTTTGAGACATCAAAATCCTCACAGTGTTTTTAACACTGGGTTCATACCAGAAGTGTTCCTACAGCTGTGCCACAATAGTCAGAAATGTAATTGAAATCCTAATAAAGAGAAGATCTTAACAAAAAAGAGGAGTATTTTGAAGACTTTGATCCCAGTCTGTTTAATAAAAACATTTATTACAGAAATAATTCCTACTGCTAAGAGCAACCATGTTATCTCTGCTGCTGCAGCCTCAAAATCAGAATGGACACTGTGTTCCATACTGGAGTTCTCAACACCAGAGCAGCATTTGTCAGCTTCTGACCTTATCAGTCCTGATTCAAAATAAAATGTTTTTACAATTGCATCTTGACATTCACACAAAAAGTGTATGTGATACAAATAACAAAAATAAGCTTTTACAATTTACTTCTCAGTATTCCAAGAACTGACAGAAAATATGCAAACGTTAAGTGCAAGTATGTACATAGGAGTAGGTTAAGCACAGTTTCCACAGCTACAAATAAAAGTTTTAATATCTCATGTCTGTGTCGACTGTCTTTTATAAACTGAGTTATGACTAACCAGTTGAGAAACATTTCATTGCATCATCGTGATATTTTTGTTTCTCTTATCTACATTTCCACTGTGCAGCCTTATGTTACTTGGATGACTAAGCAAGTTGCTTCTATCTCTGGCCGTTGTAGCAGAAATGAGAGTGGGCTCTGGCCTTCAGTTCCATGCCTTGTCAGGCAGATTTCATTGCTCTGTATTTGAAAAAGTTATTTGCACATTTGGGTAGCTAGTATAAGATGAACTCCTCCAGCTTGCTTAACTTCAATTTAATTTTTGTGAAAACAAACAGATTAAGTGCTAAAGAGATGCCCCATGCCAATGCTAATATGGAAATCAAATTTGGTTGCAACCTGTGCCTCTGGGATTACACAATCCCAGTTCAGAACAGCATTCACAGGGCAGCTCTTTGCCTAAGGAGCTACCCCGGAGCATCCTGCATTGTAGCTGTGACATCGTTCTTGGATCAAAACTCAATAGTCTCAGTTATGTTCATAAATGACTACCTTATGAAACATGAGGTTTTCATCCTCCGATTCTTTGCAGGAGTGTAGTGTTGGTCTGACATATGAAGAACAAAAGCCTGTGTTTAGATACTGAGGCACCTGTGGTGACATACAAGCAGGTGTGGCCCTACCACAGAACCTTATCCAAGCTCCTGTGTATTCAGGTTTTATGTAGCTACTAAGTTGTCTGTTTATATGTCCTCACTGAACTACAGAATGTACAGAATGCACTACTGTGCATAACACTTTCTTACTACATGTTTTAATCCTAATTTAGGAAATAGAGCTCCAAAAACAACTGACAGAAAATAATACTCTAAAAATAATTCACAATAGCTGAGGGAGCCTTCTTAAGAAGAAAAAAAGAAAGCAAAATACAGTACTTTGAAGACAAAGTAACTATGACAACAGAGCATATGATACTTGTTACTCCATCACTGTGAAATATTGCATAGTTTCAGCAGTCAAAGACCATCATTTGCCGCTTGTTCAAACACACTGGCATCCTTTAGAAAATTGTGTCATTACCAAAAGCCTACTCTGCCTGCTTACAAAAACTGCAACCCTATCTGCTATAAATGTAGTCACTTTTGGCTTCCTTGCAGCTTTTCATCTAGAAATTGATTGTTTTGGGGGAACTCATGAGTTTTGGGCATCCTGCCATATTATTACACCAGACACTAAGCAGTGAGAGAAGGGAACTTGTTGGAGAGTAATTACTTCTAGAAGGAAGGGCTAAATCATTTTTCTTGGTGAGAAATAAATGTGGAAGAAAAGTCTGTACAAGAAGGTAACACATTTAGTACTTCCACATTCATTTGTACAGACTTTGTATAAGAAAAGCTTTTCCAGCCCTGAGTAAGCTGTACTGAGCTCAGAGCTGTGCCTGTTTGGAGCAGGAGGTTGGACAACAGATCGTCTAAAGACCTTTCCAACCTGCATTATTCCATGCATGTGTGATTACTAAACTATTGCTAAACTAAGCAAATAAACTCATAGATGTTTTCCAAGCTCGACAGATAGGCCTGAGTAGAACACTTTTATTTCAGAAGAGCATTCACCACAAACAAGCAGTATTCTGGGGCACATAAAGATCCATATGAACAGTAAGATGGGTATTTGAAAGGTTCTGAGGTAAAAAATGGGTTTAAGACAGTGATGACTTTCTCTTACTCTTATTACACAATGGGCTGCTGATGGGCCAGGCCTCCTCCTGAGAACTGGGCTCCATCCATCCAAGATGAACCAAAATCTCCACCCCAAAAATACTGCTCTCCTTCAGTGGCAACCAAAATAAATTCATCTTGCAAACACACACACAACGACAGTATACACAGCTGAAATGTTTATATTGGGTTTTTACTATAATTGCTAAAATATATTATCCACTATGAGACACAGGACACTGAATTATAGAGAATTACTTTAATCTATACACATACATTTCTGAAATGTATGTAAAAGCAGAAAAGAAAGAACATGAGCGCCTTTTAAAGTAGCAGTTCCTACCCTTGATATCAAATGCTTGATATGGCAAATGTAATTAGATAGAATCAAGCAGAAGAAAGACAAATACATATTAAGATAAGTTAAAATATAACTACTTTAAAATATAAAAATTGTAGAATTTTAATGGAAATAATCAAAAGCAGTACCCTGTAAGATCATGCTTCTTTCATATCTAACACTAACAATGCCAGTTCTGGTCTGGACATCAGAATGTACTGGATATGATAAATAACAAGGTAAAATTTTGGCATCTGGGATCTATGTAATTTTAAGAGTGAATGTCTTCAAGTCAAATTAACTTTCAAAAAAAATGGATGCAATAATCTGCAGAGAAGACGAATGGGTTGGAATTAGTCTCAGGTACAATTGATTAGTAGCCAAAAAAGCCACTTTTTGCAATAATTATAATAAAATTCCCCACGAGCAATGGATAAATACCATTTATCAAGTGGCTCCTACTAAAATATACTTACGTATATTTTTAATACATAAGCTTGTAAACACAGTTTTTAAATGTATAGATAGATATGTGAACATCTGTATGTATGCATCCAAATTTTGGTCTCACACATCCCCATGTAAATGGGAAACAGGCCGGCCTAGGAATTTTTGCTTAAATAGCATTTGGTAGTCCAGTATACTGGCTCCATCTGTGAGAAGCATACTGTAGTAGTTTTGGCTGAATTGAAGTCAAACCAACTTCATTTCTTGGATATGAATGATCATGGATCTACATAGAAGTCAAAATACTTTGGCTTTTCTGACCACAGATTATAGGAGAGCACTGTTTGTTTTATAGCCATCAACTTGTTCAATTGAATCACGTCTGCCTGAGCTTAGCAGCTTAAAATTCATTCCACACAGCCTGCAGTGCTGACATGGATATGATTAGACAGAAGAACAGAAACACCACTCTGAAGTAACCTAGCTGAACTGCACATGTTCTGACCCTTTTTGAACTCCCTGGAGCTTTTGTTACCTGGCAAATGCAGCTCTAAAACTGCTCTTGTATCTCCAGATCTTTGCTCTTAGCCATGCAGAAGCCTATTTCTCTCTGGGACTGGCAGCAAGAGAGGTACTCTCTGAAGAAGGCTTCTAAATGAGCGTGCAAGCTGAACTCTTACTGAACTGAATTAATTATTAAAGATGCAGATGGAGCTGTCCAAATGATAAGAACAGCTCCTGACGTGTCATGATCCAAGCTTTCATTAAGCCATTTCAGGCATACTAATGGTTTCCCACCGCTCATTACTTACATGTTCTTTTCTCATAGATATAATAACCCTGGTGCCCAAAGGCATGGCAGGCTATGGAACTAGCGAAGCTGGAATATCCTCAGAAGATATACTGAGGAACTTTATACTTCCCTCCCTTACTTTTCTACCCTCATTTTGATTAAACATGTATACAGATACTAGTGCAAACACTTGTAAACTCAGAGAAAATTGTGTAAAGTAGAGAAGTAAGCAAGATTGTCAAAAAGGAGTGTTTAGATTAACATGTTAAAAAAGCTTACTAAGGAGAAATTCTGTCATGCTACTAAGTACACTATTGTACAACCATGGTTTGCCTTTGGTTACACTGCCCATGACATATTATTTTTCAGCTATTACACTTCTCACACTTCTTCCAGTCTCTTGCTTTCTCAATTGGGACGATTAGAGGGCAAAGCAATTGCTAGAGAAGAATTACTCCCAGGAACTGTGCTGTGATTGCTACCTGCTGTTTCATATTTTTGAAGTTGGGAATACTGCTCCCTAAAGCCTTTTGCGTCTCAGTCTAAATGATTTGCTGGAGGATAATAATGTCATGGCCAGTAAATAATAGTGAACTATGTCTGTACATGGTCAATATGATTAAATGTCCTTCACCTCTATTCTCACTCTGACCTGGTTATGAGGAAGTGAAAAAGCCGTGAGCAATGCCCAAAGCTTCCCATATGAAACGTTATTTTAAAGCAAGAGAGAAATAGAGGTGACTTAGCAAAATACTTGCAGTAACAATGAAATAAAAAACAAGATATAGAAAGTGAAATTCTCATCACACAATCAGACTTGGGTAACTGAACTATAGCTACAGGAAACTTCAAACAGTTTCTTACTAAAGATTACAACAACTGCAATGAATAACTTTGTTCTGAAAAACATCTCCTATCATACTGAAAATAATAACTGCATTTCAATTGTAATTGTAGGTTTCATTTTAAAAAGCACCCATTATCCTCATACTTGATTAAATTTAAATGTATTTAGAATAAACTGTATAATTATTATAAAGATATAGACTTATACCTTGCAAATATTTCAATGTTTCTAATTCAATTAATACACTCATCAAAAACTATTTCTCTGAAAATGTGCTGTAGCAGAAATGCTGAGTCACAGCTTGAAACAGTGATTGAGCACCTGGTGGGAAGGCAGGGCCAACCCAGGAGAATTCAGGTGCACCTGAGTGACCAGGAGGGGTGGAGCCAGGATCCAGCCCTTCCCAGACCTCATTTAAGGGTTGGCAGTGACAAGGTATTGTGCTGGAGATTGCTGCGTATCTATAAACTTCTAAAGGTAAGCACCATCTTTCTTTTTAGTCCTGTGTCAGTGGCTGTTGCATTTGAGCAAATCCTCACTTGCTACAGCCTAGGACCTTGCTACTCTGCTGTCATTACTATGCTTTCCATTGCATTATATATGGTAATGAACTAAACCTTTCACACTACACAATTATCTTTTCTTAACTGCTTATTCAAGGGTTAAAATAGTATTACTTTCTGTTTACATCAAAAACTGACCTAAAATACACATAACCTCATTTCAATATATAAATTACTAGGAGGGAATAAAGAACTTATGAAAGATTGGCTAGCTACATTTTTAATAGAAATTTTTGATATCAAAGTATGAGTTTATGTTTACACAGAGAAGTAAACTAAAAGCTACAAAAACATTCCAACTGTGTCTAGCATATGGTTCTATAAAACTAAAAAACTTCAAAATTGTACTGGATGCATGCCCTTCACAACTCTACTGCTGAATAGAGGTAGGGGAACAGGCAATTATTTAGAACTTCAAAGGCATTAAAACAAAACTAATTCATCCCTTCTAACTATCAGTAGTTATGACAAAAGCTCTCTCTATACTCAGATTATGTGCTTAGCTTTAGCCTTCTAGAATGCTTTTCAAAGATTGTGAAGTTTAAAGATACTGAAATACCAGATAAAACCAAAATGCATATTTTGCATTTGCTTTTCTTCCAAGTTCCTACATCATACAGTGCTAACATTATTAACCTGAAAAAAACAAACAAACAAAAAAAAAAAAAACAGGGAGATATTCCCTGGGATGACAACTGACTTCACTTTTTACGTGAAATTGAGAAGCAGTGCTCAGAGAACAGATGATGGGTGTATAAATACAATATTCAATCTAGAATGGACAATAGGACATACAGGCATGAGTGCATATATGGGTATGCATACATATGATACATTTACTAAAAAAAAAAAAAAAAAAAAAAAAAAAAAAAAGAAATTTCTATAAGCTTTCTTTTAGTTACATAATATTCTATTTTTATGCTGAAACACATGAACTTGTATTATGTCTGATATATATAACATACAGCTTAAATACATACAGAAGCAGTCATTTGAAAAACATGCATATGCAAATATAGATATAAATACTGTATAAATACTCTGAGATGTAAGATTGTCTTAATTATCCAATGCATTCAATACTCTTTTGAAATAATGATGATGGAAAATTTGCAGTTAAACTCTGAAACATGTACAATAGTGAGTCAGTGAGTTAATGAAAGCAATAATAACAGTTCCTTTTCTTAAAAAAAAAAAAATGTGTTTAATGTACTTCAATGATTTTTTCATATGACTACACATGTCAATATAACCTTCAGATTCAAACCATTAGGAAAAAATGGCTATACTGAAGTTCCCCCACAGCTCTAACAATTAATCATTTGAACTTTTCTGCAAGATAGTCTAAAAGAAAAAGTAAAGCTCTTACCAGAATAATAAAGGTAACAGGCCCAATGAAACTCCATATAAAATAGTTATCTACGTGGAGCCAGCAACTGTGGAAGAAAAACCAAAAATGAAAGGTGAACTATTTCAATAGCTCCTCAGTCCAGTAAATGAAAAACACAAAAATACTTCTTAAACTAATATCTTGGTAAATAATGACAAACAGTATCATTTAGTCCACAGGCAATGTTTCCTAACCTGTAACTTTTATGGTGGGTCCTCCTTAATAAAACCACTGTACATCAAAATCCATTATCAGAAACAACACAGAAGAAGAAACGATCAAAATGAGTATTCCTTATGGTCAAAAGCTTTAGTCACTGGAGTGGTAATGAACTACTGAATCTGACATCAGCAAATACTTTTCACAGGTTTTCCAAGTCATCTTTAGAATCTGCTTTTAACTCTATAGCATATGCAACATGCTTACTTCTGAGGAATATGAGATAGAAAGCATTCTGATACCACATTTGGCTGAAAAACAATCTGGTATAAATGAAACATCCCAACTGGGAGTACAACTAGAGAGAAAGAATGCATATGATACCAAACCAAATGACGTGTAAACCTATTAGGGCCAACTTCACTTAGTGATTTGTTTTTCATACAGCGCAGTTCCCTACTGAATTGCTCTTACTTGTCTTTCATCAGTAGCAAAATCAAGCAGCTTTCTTGTAGTCAACACTATCTTCCTATTCTGTAACTAATTTAATCAAAGGACAAAGTAAACACTACTGCAAGGCAAATTCATGCCTCCAGCAAATCAAATCCTCAGAAATGTTTTCTGTCTACCTTCTGTCACTTCCTATATATATCTGTACTTTTATAAATAAAAGACAGTGGCTAATTTTAATCCTGCTCTACCCGCATGATAAAATATTATCAAAGTGAACCATATGGGCCAGAATATTGTACTGTCATATTCAAGATGAGAGTTAGCTAGAGGGCCAGTTGAACAAAGAGATCTAATGAAGCATTAGCTTAAAACTGGATGGTTAAGCCTGTCAGATACTTTAAGTTGAGAAGAATTTTTAGTTCATATACATTTGAGGCCAAAAAGTTATTTACTTTTTCAATTTGTTTCAGGTCAATCTTTTGTGCTAAAAGAAAGACCATAATTTAGAATTTGTCTCTCTAGAGTACAAATCCTCTGAACCTAGAGAATTACAAAAGACTTGATTGAAATTTGTGCACAGTATTGCCATTCTCTTACCAATAAAGCTTTCAGATGGTATTTTAGTCTGTCAGGGACCCCCTGACAGCTAATAGGCTTTAAAAAATTATTCACTTGAAAAACACTCAGGTCACTTGCAATTACTTACGCTTTCTCTGTTCCATAGCTCTTATAGTCAATAGCTGCTGAGACACCAACTACTGTAGCAGGGAAGAGGTAGCCAGCAACGTAATAGTACTTCTTCCTAGAATATTCACTTTCAAATACTTCTACTAGCATTAGATAAAGCTGCACTCCTTCTAGACACATCCAGGCAAAGGCTGCCAGGAAGAAAAAGTGTAAGAGACCTGCAAATATTGGACATGCAATCTGCAAAGAAAAAGAAAGATGGAAATATAAACCACAAATCTCTACATCATTACATCTCTAATTAAATAGGGCATAATAGAAGAACATACACATCTATCAGAGATCTTTCACAAATTCAGGAACATTTTTCTAACCTGAAAACATACGCTGAACATTTGCCAATATTAATGTATACATAGTAGGTGCAGAAAGTAAATTCAGCTAAACAGAATGCAGATACAGAAACCATACCCTCACTTGTCTTCATTTATGCAGTGGTTTTTGATTTTTATATACAATCCTTTAATTTTTAAATTGGTATCATTTTAGGGCTTGTACTTTGGATTATGTGAGACATGAACAGTTGGTTCAGAAGCATAATGTAATTCAGCTTATTTTAAATATGAAGCAGCCATCAAGCCTGCTGTAATTTTGCAAGTTTCTACTGTCATAACAGGAATCAGTCTGAATTCTCTCCTCTTTAGTTGAATTCTGTATGAAACTCTTACCACTTTACTAGATTTCAACACAATGAATTGCTTCTGAACGACAAATTAAATGTCATGAATACTGCCAAAAAACTTGCATGAATGTTCATTTTTTTTTTTAAAAAAAAAAAGCCCACACAACAACAAAAAACATAAGGCATAAGTCTGCCCGTGTGTGTGAGAAAAACAGTCAATAGCTGTTGAGACACATGAGAATATACGTTCTTAGTAAATCAACATTTCAGCTCCTCTTTCAGAAGTTTAAAACACCTGCTTCATTAATAGCTGGTATTTCTCAATAGAAAGTGAAAAACAGAGCTTTAACTGAGAAATTAATACCAGGTATATTTTTGATGAATGTAAGTACTATTTATGAACATATCTACTTATTTTCACTTACAATTTTTATTTCAGCCTTGCTGTGTCAGAATGCTGAAAAGTTGGCAGTTGTCATGTTTTAATTCAAATGTTTCAAACAGTCATTTCAGAGAAAAACATCAGTACATACACAGAAGACTTACCGTGTACTCTGTCTTATCGATGCCTATTAGGAAAATGAACTCAGCAATGAATAGGTTGATACAAAGGTTCTTGTGAATAGTGTTACGATCGCTTTGTAGGCCACGGAAAAAACAGAATGTAAAGATGCAGATGGCCAGGCAAACAAGAGAGATGACAATTCCCACCCAGGTGATGACAGTGAGGAGCAATTCGTGTACTCCATCTTTGTACTAGAAACAACCAAGAATGGAGAAAATTAATATGAATCCTTATGAGTATAAACAGAAATCTATTTTCATAGGTAGCATCCAGAAAAGTTGCTTGTTCTTCATGTGAGATGGGCAAGATGTACTCAGTAATTTCTGAATCTCAGATCAGCTTCCCAGAAGAACAAAAGTAGAAGAAGAGCAGGTCTGGGAGCAAAAGATGATTATTTTTAGCCTGATTAGATAGTATTTTCAGTTTTCCTATGATCTTCTGCAAACTTGTGAGGCAAAAGTAATAAGAGACAACATTTTGAATGTAGCGTTAGGCTCTGATGCAAAGATGAGAACTTTCACTTGACCTCCTGTAAGTGTACATGTTCTTTCCTATAGACCTGCAACTCCACAGTGGAGAAGAAAGCAAAGATCAATTAGAACAAAATGCAGAATATGTTGCATGTGTAATTCCATATCTAATGTCATGTTTAGGTAAAGATGGTTCCTTCAGTTGTAACAGAATCACTTTTGTCATCTCAGTTATCTTTTCAGTTACCTTTCAGAATATAGTGGGTTTATGAAAAGCCCCATATCTCTGCAAATATATCTTTGTTGGCCACTAAACATCCAGTAAGTGCTTAACTAGGCAACAATTTCAGAGTATAAAAAGGGAATTAGAAAACCAGTAGCAGCTCTGACCTTCCTGCTTTAGGAGATTACACTTGTGCTTCCAGGGGAAAACCTGCATACTTGCCCCCTAGAAAGCCTCCAGTCATAGTGCAAAGTCTGTAAAATGACTCTAAGATTGGTCATTTACTTCAAAATATGACTGGAAGAAGTTTTTTGTCCTTCTTTCATTGGTGTGTTTTTTTTTTTTTTGTTATTTTTTTTGTTATTTTACTTGTAACTTTATGGTGAGGAAGAAAACTGCTACAGAAAGTAAATTGTTTTGGAGTGAGTGGGTAGAAACTATAAATACTTAAGAAACTTCAGCAATTTTGTATCCTGCTAAAAATTCAAAGCTAACTCTTTAAAAGCTTGTTCCCTGCTCATGGCTAGAAATATCATTACCTACCACAATTTCCCGATGAGCCATAAGAATAGCAAAGTTGGTAAGGTGACTGCAAGCACATGTTGTATGAGTTTTATTTGTGTCAACCAGTTTGCAGCCTTGAGTTGACCAGTATCCCATCATAGTCCTCTCGGAGTAGTTCCAGAAGGAACAATTTGCATTGAAATAATTGTCAGGCTAAGAGATAAAAGGATAAAATAAAATAAGGATTTCACACATTAAGATGGCAATAACAATTGTTTAATATGTGTAAAGAGTAATTTAGATTAAACTTTGCATGTTTCGGACAATAAAGTTTTCATCAGCAAAATTGTGGACTATGTATACAAGGAAGACATCTAGTTTGAATGGACTTTATAGTCCGAAACACTCTAAAGTGTAGTTCCAATTACTGTAGACCCAATTTTAAACAATTACAATTTCAATCTTACAACTTTATGCACCAATGGTACAACATAACCATTTTTGGTGTCTGTGAAATTAGGACAGCAAATTTATTCTGAAGAGATATTTTAAAAGTGACAGAGAAATGAATTTTCTATCCTTTGATTCCCACCTATGTTCTGGCCAAAGTCATGTGAATAGACATCAGGAAAAATCTCATTCCTCAATGTCTATCTATTTTGATAAGAAACAATTGGAACACTTACAAAAAGTGGCAAAAGGAAAATCAAACTATTTTCTCTATCACTGTACTGATTATTTACTTTCCCCATGTGAGATTTGAAAATAAAAAGGATCAAACTGAAGAGCAAAGAAACATAAATCGTGACACAATATACACAGATTGAAAGCATAGAAAACCCAGATATAACACTTTCCTTCTCGTTATGAATGTATTTAAAGCAATTCTGTTGTATAGACTTGCAGAGCTTGGTCCAAAATCATTGTAGAAAGTTTATGCTATTTTGTCACGTCAGACAAATAAGAATCTTAACGGTTACTTTCTCCCCAGCTACTAAGGTAAGAGTTAATTCTCAGTTAGAAACAAATTAGTCATTTACATTTTCATGTTGATTACTGAATTAGCGTTCATTAAGAATACACTTAAGTTCTAATAATCACTGAACCAAGCTCATTTAATTTTATGTTCAGAGACTTAAACAAGCTCATGTCTCTGACCTAGCCCAACATCTAAAATTCAACTGGAAAAAAAGGTTATTTTTCTGCATTGCTTTTCTTTCTTGCTGATTTTATGACCCTCCCATTAATTCATTAGCATAACTCACATCAATGTGTTCCAGAGTAAAATACACAGGATCAGTCAGGTACACTCGGCTAGACTCCTTGTTGATAGAGGCTGCAATGACGTGGGAGTTGACTGCAATTGTACTGTTTCTACCAGCAAAATCACTGCCCAGCTTTATGGTTGCATTTTCCGTGCTAAGAAAACGCCCCAGACTTTTGTAAATGATGAAAACCAGCTTTGCTAGCCCTACAAAAGAAAAGAAATCCCATAATTGTGCCACAGAAACATACAGGAAAGCTGTAGTCTGTACTGTAATGAATGGAAAATATCAGAAAACACAGAGGCATTTTCAGGCTACAAATTTGAAGAAAAATGCCTAGGTACCTATTATATTGAAGAAAAAGACACAGAACAGTTTTGTTGTGTGTGTTCGTTTCTTAACTAGGAAAGGTAATGTATTGAATTTAATGGAGTTTTGATGCTATGTGCTCAGGACTCACCGTTTCTGCTGTTTTGTTTCACAGTGCTTGCAGAGAGCTGAATTGAGTTGCCTCCTTTACTGCCCTGAGGAAATTTCAAGTCCTGCACCTGGCCCTCAGTAATGAGCACTGCAACATCCAAAACTAAGCAGATTCAAGGGGAAAAAAAAAGTGTTAAAAAGAAGGATGTAGAAAGCATCTTTTGGCCAGATTACAATTGTTTTTCCCCAATCAATATTCAGTTTTATCACACTGCTGGTCTCATTTGCCATCAAAAGAGATCTGTACTGCAATGTTTCAATTACACAGTTACTTTAGTAGTATGCACTAGGTTTAATTAAAGTTTAAAGAAAATGACAGCACTTTAATAGAGAAAATAATGACATCAAACCTTGCTTTAATGTGTGGGCCTAAAAAATCCATTTAAAAATACTGCAAACATACGTATTGCAGAGAAACATTAATTTTGAAGCTCCTAATGTCTATGTAGCAACCACAGCCAGCAGATTTAGAACTTCAAGTATTGATTTAAAGAGGTTTAAAAGTCAGCAAGTAAATGCCTAAGTACACTTATGCTGTGTATTTAGCTAAACAATATTCATACCATTTTGCTTTTTTCCCCCCTATATCTAATTCTGTAGAATGGTTGATAAATAAAATAGTAATGTTAAACTAAGTATTTAAACTGAAAACTTAAGGTACCACTTAGACAGTCAGTTTTAATTTTATATCATACTGCATACTGGGGAGCTTTCATGGGATTAACATTAAAGGTTGGATTCCCTTGGATATGTAAAACATATAAGCTAGAGTGGTCAATTTGGTGTCAAGTATCAGTGGTACATTAAACTGGTTCAACTATCACAATGTATGTGCTACAGCCTGTTATCAAAGTTGTTTCTGAAGGTTTATAGGTAGAATTGCAGAACAGTGTCTGAGAATGCAGTCCAAAATTAACTACTTATTTCCTCTCATTTGTATAAGAAAGTATACTTGGACTTGGTAATTGAAAAATGTTATTTGCTTTTTTTCCCTCCGATGTATTTCATTTCTAAGACAAATGCACCTTTACATATAGTCAGACATCTCACTTAGCATGTACACACTGTTCCATGGAGCTCAGTGGACTGTCTGAACATTGCTAAGATAATCATTTCTAATCAGATATCATTGCTAAGATTGATAAGCTGTAACACCTCCCATTTCTTTCCTAGTATCTTCCTTCTTAAATATAAACTTAGGTAGAAACATCTTACACAGTTAATAAGCAGATACTGAAATGTGGAAAGTCTAATTTCTGCAGTCTACTCCAAGTCTCCATTTTGGTAACTTTTAAATTAGAAGACTTTCAGCTTCCTCTTACGCTGAAACTACATTCATCTTTGTAATAAGACGAAGGAATTTTAATTTTATGCATAGCAATTATTTTTGCTTTAACACATCCCCTGTGCCAATATTTGCACATCTCTAATACCAAATCCTTTCATTTCTCTGTCACCACTTAAATTCTAAATTATGCTCCAACTATCTTCAGCTATTGTGTAGTCTCTGGAGCATAGCTATTCTGCATTATGGGAGATGTAGTCCACTGAACACATTTTTACCTGAAGGCAGTCATGTTTAATATAAACATTTTGCCTATGTTCTGAGTGCCTAAAATATTTAACTGGCAGAGTGCATCGTAAAAAGTAATTTAAATTCATTAAGGACAGATTATATAAAATAGAAAAGCATTTCCACAGCCCTACAGAAAACAGTTACCTCAAAAAATCCATACTTTGCCGTTTAAGCATTCTTCATATCCATAGGCTCTGCTAATGATTTTTCAGTGGTAAATCAACTTCACAACATCAAGTACTTTCTATTCTACACTGTATTGAGGATACTGAAGAAGAATGCTAATTTTGCAGAACTAAACAAAAGCATTTCACCTCTACAAGGAATAACTCTTTTCCTACACAGGCAGGTAAAGTACAGCTTTCTACCAAATGTTGCACAGCTCAGCTTTCAAAGAATAATTGTTCTTGTTTTTTGTGCAAAAGCAATTCACAGCACTTTAATTAGTACTTGAAAAGAAATTCACTTACTGATATTTTCTGTGGGCATTGAGACTCTGGTTGGTTCTAAGAGATTATCAGCCAAGACAAAAGCCCCTTCTTCTAATGTATCAAGTAGCATTGTGGCTGCATGGGCTTGTTCCGAAGAATTCATGTCTTTCCAGGACTCCAGAGCTTCAGGCCTGAGCAGGTTGTCCACTGTGTCAACAATTGCCTGCATTCATTAGAAAACTATCATTAGGTCTGATTGCTTTAGGCAGCTGGGGAAAATTTTCAGCATTATCTCGTGACAATTATAATACTTAACTGTCAGAATGATTTACTGTGATTTAATGGCACTAGAAAACTATTTCAACATAAAAATATTTTTCCATTCCCTTGCTGGATTAGCATTAATAGAAGTGCAGTTAGCCACTAGCGTTGTGTGGTCTATAAGTGTTAAACATGCAGATTTGACTTGTCTCGTATCAGATATAAAGACAGTCATATTAATGTGCTGAAAAAACGTAAAAATAAATGCCAGAAATTTTGCCTGAAGCTTTCATCTTAAAGTTAATGTCAAAATATACAAATTCTATTTAAAAATACTAATGCCAAAATTGGCATTCTGCAGTTTAGGCTAAAATGGCAATAATACTCTTCTGAAAACTTAGCACAACTCATGCAGCCACTGTGCTATAAACTACTTGTCTATGACAAACTGCCTTCTTTATTACAGGAGGCATGAAATGAAGCTGACTCAGTGGATATAAATTAGTCTGGGCCACTCTCACTCCCCCTCCTGTTCCTGTACCTGTTCATAGATACTTAAAAAAAAATTACTAACTCCCATTCCTGCACAAAGGTCAGTTAAAAAAGGAAATCAATAGAGCAAACAAGATGTCCACTGACTGTCCCTGTTATCAGTGAAGGCAAAACTGAAAAGCTGAATAAAGCTGCCATTTTAAGTCCTTCTTGTAACAACTCTATCATTATGTTTTAAGGTTCATTAAGCTGCATATAAAGTAACAGTAAATAAGGAAGAAGATGAATTCAGAGACATGATTACATTATTTTTACAAAATAATCCAATCAATCACAGTAATCAGTTAATCAATTGAAGGCAGGCACTTACATTAATGCATAATGTAGCTGTGCATTGAGTTTGCTGTGCACTGAGTACGCCATGCATTGCTGAAACACCCTGTTTACTCTGTCCCATTTGCCTACTCATAATGTGTCATTAAGCCTATGTATAATTTGTTTGATCAATTTAAAAGCATCAGGAATGGAAACAGAACGTAGTGTACAAACAGGAAGATGTTGGTCTGGAATACTGCACTGTGCAAATCAGAATAGGAAAAGTTGGTCAAGGCTTTTGTCAGAGCAAGATTAATTAGCCTAATCCATTTTAATATCCTCTTTCTGTCTGTGTTGTGAACCACCACGACCTTCCTGGCAGGTGGAAGATACTTCGAAGTGACATTAAAGCCTTTTTTCTTTCTCTAACGGGAGACAGAATAGTCAAAACGCTCACACTGATACTGCTGCAGCCATTAACTAGAGTGGAACAGAAATTGGTCTGCAGAGGCCAGATTCATTAGTCACCAAGAAATACAGATTGGAGCCTCTAATCTGAGGTACAAATGAATTCTCTGTCACAAAGTGGGAACTTGCTTCATTTGCATAGTGTAAGTCAGCTTTTGATTTGTAATTTCAAGAGGGTTATTAGTCTTATCTAAGCAGAGAAGCCCATCTGAGACTTACAGAAAATGACACCAGTCGAAAATTAAGGTTGTGCTACGGTTTCTTATGTATCTCTATATAGTGCTGATGGTATGCATTCATTAATATGAAGCATTTTTTATTTATTATGGGACAAGCTAGCTCTGCATTTTTCCTGTGGTAAATGATCACCTGTCCAATAATACTTCTGAGGCATTCTCTCCACTCAGACAAAGACAATCAGGGAGGTGGAACCCCTCTGACACAGCTGTCCAAGCAAGCCAATTATTGCTCTACTCATGTTAATGTTTATTATTGAAAACAAAGTATGAAAATTCAGTCTGCTCAATGTCTGCTGGGTTTCCTTTTCCTATTCAAAATTACTTTCTGATAAAATCCTATTACATTTATTATTTAAGAAGTGCATTTCTCTCCAGATCTTTGTCTCTTTTTGTCAAATTTTTGCTGTAACTGGACATCTCTTATCCCATTTTCTAAGCAGTAGGATAAAAGACAGACCATCTAATACAGAGAAGTGTCCCTCCAGTAAGAGTTTGAATTTATTATGTTGCAAAGTATTTCAAAGTTCTTTTTAAAAATTGTTCTTACATTTTATCACAGAAGGTACAAGTAAAAACTATATTTTAAAAGAAACTTTGAAAAAATGTGCAATAAAATCTTTCAGAAGCACAGACACAATCTATTCTAGGACATATTTTTCTCCTTATCACAGGTGTGAGGTAGAATTACTGGCATTGTATCACAGAGCAGGAGCTGGCCACTATGGGCAACCATTCTACCAGAGATAAAAGAAACAGAAAATCAGATAGCAATGTGCTATGCACCTTCCATATAGCCTGACTAATGGGACACATGATACATATTTTACTAGTAAAGCTAGAGAAAAGTTTGTATTTATATTTTATCCTGAAATCATTGAAATTGGCCTTTGTAACAACTCTCAAAACTGTAAGATGGAGTAATTCTACTAGGTATAAGAATACACAAAGAACAAAGCAGGCTATATAATGTACACTTCATGCAAGCAAATTAATTCTAAGCAGTCTTTGATATAAAACGCTATAAGCTGAAGTCACTTCTGTTCATTTCCCAGCTTTTTTGTCTACCCAAAGTCATATTATGAGAGAGACGTTACTTCCAATTCAGGTAATAACTGTTTCTGCTTTGGAACAAGTTGAGGTTAGAGAGGTATAAACTTTGATTTTTATTTTTTTTCTTCTGAGTGTTATACCTGTGCAAAGCCAACATTTGTACAGTTGATATGGGGCACAATACACATTTATCAAAGACTGAAATACATAGGATCATGCAGCAAGATGATAAAGCGTGGCAGGTTGCTGAAGCAGGGAGAAAGCAGGGTGACAGCACATGAGAGATACCTTAAGGTAAGCCCTGCATGTCTTCTCTCGTTTTTGGAGCTTTTTAGTAAGAGAAAAGAAAATCAGAAGTTAGACACATTCTGGAAAGCTTCAGAAATACCCAAAATTTAGTCTGGTGTTTCAAATCCGTAATTCGAACTGTGAAGAGTTTGGACGTTAATTCAGTTTTTATTCAGTGATGACTACAGAAAAACATCAAACAGGAAACCTTTTTCCCAACCATTGTAAAGGTGCCCACGGATCTCTGTCCCAGCAGTGGGATTTGTGTGAAAAGGTCAAAGGAGAAAATCCTTGCGTAGACACTTCATCTATCCAAGGGAAAACTCTTCTAAGTGTAGCTAGAGATTGTAAATAAAACTATTGCCCAGTCAACAGAGGAGTACACGGAGCTCTCTTTAAAGCAGGCTGAAAAATGTTTTATTTGTAGTTTGTTGACTGAGCTGAGGAAAGGAAGAGGCCATGAAATATAGCATTTCTTATGAGAAAAACTGGAACGGTAACGCTTTTGTGATTTGTACCTAAAACACAACAACATAATTTTTCTCTGACATGTTTCTCTCAATACTATTCCAGAAAGAAAAAAACAAAAACAAAAAACTATGTCTTTGTGGTTTAGATGATCCTAGGAGATATGATCAACTGTAAGTGATGCTGGCATCTTAAAACGTCTAAGAAAATGCTATTATTTTGCAGCAATTCAGATTAAAGCAAAGCTGTACAACCATGCTGAATCTCTCTGATTGCTCAGGGATAAAATCTTCACTGAATAAAAATACTGCTTTGGTTGAGGATTTCTGTAAGCTAGTGGCCATTTACCTACATTATTTATAATGCATACAAGATTTTAATAAAGGACACACAGCTATCTTTGAGGACCAGTGAATTTTATCTTATGCCCTAAAAAGAAGGTAATTGCAACTTTCCGCTGTGTATCTACTGTTGTTTTACATGTTTATTGCAGAACTATATACACGCAGGAACAAAGTATTGATTAATATTTCTGAAAGGATAAAAAAAAATCAAGGGCAATGGTTATCCCAGCAAGCAGAGGTGAACATAGTTGTGTACCTTGTTATAACTCCTTCCAGCAGAATCTTTTTCACTGGGTCGCAGTTCCTGCAGCTGAGCATCCAAAATGTCCACAAGCTGCTCCATCAGCCTCACTGATGAGCTAACATCGCCAGCGAAGACTGGTCCTTTAGTGTGTTTAGCCAGTTCATTGGCCAGACTAGCAGCATTTTCTCCACTTCTGATCTGAAATGACAATTTATATTATCTCAGCAGGGTCCCTTGTTCTGCTTGCGGCTCCTAATTCCAATTCCCCACGTACCTTTGTTGTGGTGAAATAACCATTTGCACATACATTGAAATCTGCAACTAATTGAGACCAATAACATTCTCTTTATCTCAGAAGATTAAAGGTTCTTAGATCCGTGACACACAAAAGCAGTTCTTAACAGTCATCAAAACCAGAAATCAGACTGGGACTTTTGGGCTAGATCTTCTGTTCATCCTCACTTTTATTTTTCTGCCATTATCAGACAGTAAGAAATCTATTTGTTCACACCAGTGCTTGAGGCATTTGAAAGTCAAGTAGCCTGGTACTGACAACAAATTATCCAGTTTTCATAAACTTAGTAAATCTCAGTAGGGAAGGAAAACACAGAAAGTGGCTCTGTGCTCTAATCATACTGTTATTAATGCACTCGTACAAAAATCTATTTATTCAAGTAAAATTCTCCCTGAGCCAATAAACCTAGTTGCATACCAGACTTTTTGCTGTATGATTTATAATATTTTATTTATTAAGCAAGAACACTAGAAGAGCTATTTTGCTTTAAAATGCTATGAAAACACGTAAGTACAGACTCCACTCAATAACTGAGCACGAGTGTGCCTTACTGGACTTATGAGCCACGCTTTTCTTAAATGCTTTACACACAAAGTACATGCAACTCCTTTTCAAAAGAACACATAGTAATCGGGACAGCTTCAACAAGCTCAATTATTAATGCTTGCAGTTAAAATCTTTAGTAATGAGCGAACACCAGATTAAAAGGTTTCAACCAACCTTCTGAGCCAGCTGATTTACCCAGTGTGAGGTGCAGTTGCTAAGATCAGGGCCTTTGGGGTTCCATGTTCCCGTTAAAACCACACAGAGATACGAGGCAGTTCCTACAACAGATGGGGAAAACTACAGTGAAATTGAAGCCATTTTTCTGCATGCATTCGGGAAATCAGCAACAATGTGCTCCTTAGCAGTGTTGAATCCTGAATGCCACTAGTATAAGCAGTTGACAATAATTGACAAAAACGTAAGGAAATAAGGTAGATGATAAACAGCAATAAAAAAGTCAAGTGAAAAGTACCAGACGGTTTCTGCAAACAAACAAAAAGCCCTTGATTTTTCCTGGAGCTCATCCAAAGGGGAGCTCATAATGAGAAAGGCAGCTGTAAGTATATTTCATAACAGTCCTCAAGTAAAGACCTAAAATTTGACCTGGATTCTCAAAGCATACATGCAAAGTAATTCTGAATCTACACTCAAATGCAGTTTGTAGATTAGAACCTGACCACTGCCTTTAGATACTGCATTCTCCAAGCAACAAAAAAAATTGTTTGACAGGCTGAGATTTAAGAAAAATCACCATGAGAGAGTGGCACAGTGCCTTTGAAATGTCTGCTTGGAATCATGATATATTTTTAAAGGCAATACCTCGTGTTCCTTTGGGGCAAGGCCGTTCAACCATCATTCCTCTTTGTGTCTGAGGCCAACTAATCCCCCTCGCCTCAGTCGGTTCACAGAATCTTTCTGGCAAAGGGAAAAAACTCGTCACAGGGGGAATTTTGGTTGTAGAAACGGGTGGCGGTGGCTTGGGTCCTCTGCTTCCTTCTTTTGTTCCTCCAGCTAATGTTGTGCTTACTGGACCTTTCTGTGATGTAGTGCTAGTGGTTGACGCTGTGGTTTTGTATAGCTCTGCTGAAGAAGTTATTGTCACTGCTGTGGTAGGCACTGCACAGAGAAAATAAGAGTAATAAAAAAGTGAATGATTTCAGAATTATTTTTAAAAAAGTTATTTGTGTAGTTTTAATGGATTCTCTGGTGTCTCCTTTTTTTTTAACCTTAATATTACTCTTTTGTTATTGCTATCCTGAGTGCTTACGAATTTTTTTCCTCCCAACTCATACCAGCATGAAGTTTCAACACATTCTCTAAACACTTTCTTCCGTAAAAAAAATTGGTAGTTACATTTCTAAAGGCGGAAAGGCAGTCCTAGGGAGTTATCAGTACAAAACAAACATGCTCAAAGCAAATAAAGATTACTTAGCTGCTTCCACAGAAGAAAGAACTCGACAGATAGAGCCATACACAGTACAGTTCAGCTTTAAAAACAAAGGTAGTGGGCTGTAACTAACAGGCACATTTTAAAAACAGATCCAAAAACTTCAAGTCACCCACTACACACCTTCCAGGGAAATAATTCCGATTACATCTTCCTACCCCGCAGTCATTCTGCGTGAAAGAGCTGCAGCATGCCTGATTAGCTTCAAGCAGAACAAACGCATAGCACGGACGTGGTGTTCTGGTGTTTGAACATTGCGGGCTCTAACATCCTTTGTTGATAAAGCAGGTATGAAGCCATGTCTCATGCAAAGCCAGGTGGCAAGCACCTCGTGCAGTCTTTCATGCCACTTGCAGATAGGTTTGGGCCAAATCATTTCTGACCGAAACATAGAACTCCTCACTCCCTGGCACTACTGGGGCTGGGAGGCGCAGTGGGCCTGGCTCATTTTGTGAGGCTTTGCAGAGATAGCACTCCTTAATGCTTGTGAAGATAACAGTCCGTAATTTCTGTTCATTACCTTGAAATGTATATGGAGCAACAGCTGAAAAAATGCAAGTAATGTAACTGAAACAGTCACCATTAATTATTTCCAAATCTTCATTAGTGTTCACAGTGCTTTTCAGGCAACCACAAATCCTTGTTCTGAGATTAAATATGCTCAAATCAACTATTTTTTATATCCTAACCAATACAGAAATAAATGAAACTAATTTTAGGATTAACTTAACTGAAGAAGGTGACTTTTTTGTTGTGGCTGGGTTCTGTTGCAGCTAGATCCCTGACCTCTGAGGCATGGACAATTATGTTTTTTATCATGTTCTCTAAATAAGCTCACTAGCAAAATCAAAAGAAGTTCTGCTAAGCTTTCTGTCACCAAATTTATTTCTTTTTTTTAAGTTTGCACATGGAATAAGATTAACTTTCACTTGTTTGGAAGATATTTAAACCATACTTCATTTATAATATTTCAGGAGACTCAACTATCATAGAATCAAAGAATGCCTTGAGTTGGAAAGAATCTTTTAATTTTTATATGAATTTAGAGTATAGATTTTGAACACTGACGTCTATTTTTAAAGACCGTATAAAGAGAAATGTTTTTTATCTCTTTCTTACTCACAAATGACAAACTTCTTCAGCGGCTGTCTTCTCTTCAGCCCAATTCTCAGCTGTCTGATGACAGTCTGTGTAATTGTGCTGTATTTGTGGCCTAGCCAGCTACTATGAAACCTACTGAAATCTCTGAATCTGTTCTGCAAGTGTTTGCCTGACATCTTGTGAAACTGCTGTAATTTTATTTTGATTACAATGCATCCAGCCTTTCCCAATTAACATTTGTCAAAAGCATTTGCAGTCACTTGCAGCAGTGTCAGGCAATGCCTCTGAATCAGGTCCTAAGGAATGGGAAGCTGCAGGGGACACAGGATGCTGCAAGGGACAACCCATTATTTCTATCCAGTCCCCAACACATTGTGCTAATAGGTACGTATTTAATCACTTAAATGTGTATTAGCATTATTGCAATTACTGCTCAAACCTGTAATGTTTAGGATACCTTTGTCTCAGGAGCAAAACACCACAGTAAGAATCAAAGCTATTCTCTAGAGTTAAGTAGTGAGGCAACAATTTTCAGAACATACTTTGTGCTGTACCATCAGCTATAATATTCTGCTGTCTTTATGCAACTTAATGCTACACACTGAAATCAATTCCCAAGCATCTCTTTGTAATCTCTTTTTGAGGAAAAAGACTCCAACTCTCTCTCTCTCTCTCTCAAAAAAAATTCAGAAATCATAAAAAAAAAGAAAAGAAATAGAGACAATATCTAAGATATTTTCTCTTTATTTAAATAGGAAAATTAAGAAGTCGGAATCTTAAAGAATGTATCAAGAAATTTCAGGACAGTGTGAAAGCCCAGGAAGAAGAAGGCTGAAAAAATAGGAACACATCATTAGGAATATATCCAGATTTCAGAAGGTGGATCATTTTGTTTTTAATGACCTGTTGGGGAATTTAACCTGAAAGGTCATTGTTCTGAGCTGCAAGAAGACACATGATGGCTTCCACTATCTGATGTGTCCCATGCTTGAAGCCCAGGGTGATGGTACCCACAGGCTCCCAGGCACCTGCAGAGCACTTACATATACAAGATAATGATACTGATGATTTACAAGCTGCAAGTAAAAGGAAAAACAAACTTCTTGTATGGGTCACTGACCTATCATTCTGAGCAGCTGGGGAAAGTCTGCAGAAGGCTAAAGATTTTTTATAAAATGCCACGTGACTTCTTGACCATAATTGCTGGAACAAGTTGTGCAGGGCTTGTGAATGCCCTGCCCTATGAAGTGTTCAAGGCTAGTTTGGAGGAGGGGGCCCTGGGCAATCTGATCTAGCACTTGATCTGGCGGCTGGCAGCCTGTAGAGGAGGGCTTGAAACTTGATGAACCTTGAGGTCCCTTCCAACCTAAGCCACTCTATGATTCTATGATTGATGTGCCAGGGTGAAACAAACCTTTTTCTCCTTTTTTTTTTTTTTTTTAATATAGTCAGGTCACATTATCAGTTGAAGACAGTCTTTGTACGATAAAAAAAAAATAACATCAGCGGGAAGTAAATTCAGAGACTTTTTGAGAGTAATTAACTTGCATTTGTTTCATGCAGTTCCTAACAGTTGATTTAAACAGCTATATATGTACTGTGTTTCTAAAAATTAAGACATCACTGGAGTAAAACTTAACACCTGCTTAACAGTGTGATGTCCATAAAAAAAACATAACACAATTGCTTAGGACAGCGGGGGAATAGTAACTTTGTTTCCCCAACTGACAGTGAGGAATAGATTTAGAGATATTTTTTCTTCAATTTTGTATTATTTGCTAACAGGTTTCTACTGTAAGTAGATATTAACTACATTAAAACAAACAAACCAAAACCTCAAAACATAACCATACCCATACGTTCAAAATTGATCTGGGCTGCCCAGATGATTAATCATTTCTGAAAACACTAATAGTTCCATTTTCATCTCTGCGACTTAAATCATTTTCTAGATTGGCTGCATGGATTTTTCATTTAAACATATGTTTTTACAGGCCAGAAATTTCAATATATTTGAACATTCAAAAACCTAATTCTACACCTTAATTTTCAAAAGGCATCATACACTGGGCTGCTGTGTAAAGCAACAAGGATCAGACATTTGGGCAAACCCAGATTTTCCTGCTTTCTGCTTATTACCATGATGTGCCTGTTTTTACACTTCAGTGAATACCAGAGAAGTCACTAAGACTTACTTAATTACCTATATGCTCCAGCTATTATGCTGGCCAGTACTCTACAGATGCTGCAAAATCCCATTTAGTTGAAAGTGAAATGTTTACATGGGTATTTATAAATGTACACCCTGAAAATTATAATGAATACACAACAAAATTAACAAAATGCCTATGATTGAGGAATTGGTCCCCATTAGGTTATCTGTATTTGTACAGCCTCTCTTTAATCAATCTGTAGCGTAATAGATTCACTAAAATAGCAAAGATCTAATTTACTTAATAATTTGCTGCATGACTTCGTCATAGATTCTTGGTGCTATAAGGATTTATTTGCACTTGCTTACTGTCACTTCAAGCCCTCGGTGATAGCAGCTGACAAGTTTCTGTTCTATCAACACTCACAACATCCTTATTTTCCTGCAGTGATCCAATAAAACTTAATGATGGGTATCATGGTACAAAAGGGGAGACAACCCCAGTTTGAACAGTTTGCACAGTCTGCGCAAATTGGGATGAGTGTAGATGAAATCTCTCCCTAACGCACTGAAACAGAACAAAAGGATTTATCTTTTTGTTCCCAAGGAAACCTTACAATGTAATACTCATTCACTTTTTAAGGGGAAAATTCCCTTCAATCTTCTTAATCTTTTAACTTAAAATTCCTTTTAAAAATCCTATTCCAGCTAGGATTTTTTTGATCTTTGGATGTCTCCTTTAGAAATCACATATGGGAACACAGACACTAAATTTACCAGAAATATAAAAATATGTTCTTTTTTTGTAGTTGCTTCTCTGCAGGTCCTGATATACTTCTGAATTATTTCTGAGTTAAGGTTTTGACTTTTAAATACAATTTTTACACTTAACCTTAGAAAATATGCTCTTGTGCAGTATCTGAGTGGTACTTGTCAGCTGTAGCTCCAAAAGCCATTTCTACATCTATGTATTACAATTCCCACGAGGAGAGAGAAAAAAAAAAAAAAAAAAAAACATACAGAGACTGAGGTTAAGGGGAGAGTTCTAAAGGCAGCAGACCCAGTTTCCAGGGTAAGATGGTAGCTTGGCTGCAGCAGCAGTGGTTTTAGAAATCAGAAGTCTTCCTGAGGATTACGAAAATAAGGATATGAGGAGCATGTAACACACACAGTTACAGGAGGAAAAAAATGCTACAGGTCTGCAGCGAAGTTCAAGTCATCATTAGGTTAATTATAGAGGTATTTCTGTGATTTCAATAGGCAGATTTAAAAATTAAAGAAACAATAGAAAGAAAAAAGGCAGGTTTTGAGTCACAAGTGAGTCTCACAATTTTGGCCCTGGGAGCAAACACAAATCTTGCAGTTCAGAATGTGACTCAAAAGTGATAAATTTGTCTTTTATGAAGGAAGAAGATTGTTGTTTTTGAAGCACTTGATAGTAGGAAGTTCAGGTGCAGACAAAAACTGATAGCCAAGACACAGAAAAAAACGAATCAGTGTCTGTATCATTATTGCTCCCACAGCAACAGAAGGAACACAGATTGCTGACTTTTCTACAATGGCCCCAAGTTAACCACTCAAACAGAAAAGACCATGACTTCCAATTTTGAGCCACTGACATTGTGACACCATTAAGTACTTGGTATTAAAGTACCATTGCAAAAGACACAAAAAGAAGGTTCTCCTACTAGGAGACTTAAAGAATCTTATCCTAACACCTATGTCTTTGAGTGGATGATTAAGAAATCTAAGTCAACCAAAACACACATGCACACAAAAGAAACACAAAAATGCCCTTTACACATCCTTTGTCAAATGTACTGAAAATCTGATCTAAGGCCGCACCTCAAACACTTTGTTCAGTTTTGGGCCCTTCACTATCAGAAACACACTGAGTCACTGAAGCATGTCTGAAGAAGAGAAACAAAGCTGTTGAGGGGTCTAGAGAACAAGTCTTATGATGAGCAGCGGAGGGAACTGTGCTTGTTTAGTCTGAAGAAGAGGAGACTCAAGGGAGACCTTATTGCTCTATACATCTGCTTGAAAGAAGGTTATAATGAGGTAGGGGTTAGTCTCTTCTCCCAGGTAACTAGCAGTAGGATACAAGTAATGGCCTCAAGTTGCATGAAGGGAGGTTCAGGTCAGATAAGAGGAAAAGCTTCTTCTCAGAAATAGTGGTCACACATTGGCACAGGCTGCCCAGGAAGGCGGCAAATTCACTACCCCTGGAACTGTTTAAGAAACGTGTAGGAGTGGTTTCTTAGGGACTTGGTTAGTGGGTATAGTGAGGATGGATTGATGGCTGGACTTCAAGATCAATCTTAGAGATTTTTTCCAACCTTAATGATTCCATGATCTATATATTACACATATAGATTTTTAAGTTCCATAACAATAGAAGAACTGATCTCTAATTTATATAGATATTATGCTGAAAGAAAGAGGAACTGAGAATATAATACAAGTAAAATAGAGTTATAAACTGTATGGAATATCTTCATTTTATAGCAGTACATCTCAAGGACAAGCAAGATAATTTTTCCTTTAATTTAGTAGTCTTTAACTAAAGGCAATTGGCTTAGGCAAAAGAGCAAATGAACTGAAACATTTTTAGAACTGCCACATTCAGATCCATATAGAAATAAAATATTGTTTATTGGCTTTATATAGGAGGAAAAAATCTTTTGTGAATATATGTATTACATATTCAAATAGTTTCTATATTTTAAAAGGTCACAATCAAAAATGTATTTACTGATGTCTTAATGCATTTAAAACAAAATCTCACAGTTCACTCACAAAAAATACTCCTTTTTTATCTTCATGGATGAATGGGTAAAAAGCTTAAAAGAGAGACAAGCACCCCGCAGCGTGCCCCGGGCCCCTTCTCATCTAGGTCTGGTTGCAATAATGTGTTTCTCCCTCTGCCTTGCATGCCAGCCTCTTCTCATGAAACCCCAGGACATGAGGGGGTGCTAGTGGATGCACAAGTGTCTTTTTGATACTAGACGGGATGCGGCTGGGATGCGTACTTTATCCTATGTTAGAGACTCATAATAAAAACATCATGAAATGTTTCATTGGACACATTGGGTGTTTACTAACACAAAGAAAGGACCATACAAAGCCTTTTTCTCTCTCCCTGTTCATCCTTAACACTTCTTCCCTTAATGCAATGATGTAAAGATTAGCTTCTACCACATTATTTACGGCAGAGCCCGCACCTCTGTTTTCTTCTCTTGTAAAGCTTTTGAGAACTTAAACTACAACTTCATCTGAGTTAAACTGAATGAAAAATGACATGCCTGAGAACATATGAAAATGAAAGCTTTTTAATGAGATAGGTGGGTATGTCTCTGATAAGAGCAGCCACCAACTTCTGTAATGAAACGGGGTGCAGGGCCTTTTGAACAGCTCCCTGTGCTGGAGCTTAGAGCTAGACACGGGAACTGGCCTGAGCCTAGTATCATACATGGGGAGGTGTGGGGGGACAGACTGGGAATGCCTTCATGTAGCTCTGGAGATTACTAATGCTTTAGTTCTAAACTGCCTTGTTCTGCTGCTTCTTAAGTATTTTTACATATAGAAAAATTTAAATGTATGTTGATACAGAATCATAACATGGTTTGAGTTGGAAGTAACCTCAAAGGCCGGTTCCAACCCCCTTGCCACAGGCAGTGAAACCTCCCACTAGACTGGACTGCACAGAACCCCATCAAGCCTGGCACTGAATACCTCCAGTGATGGGGCATCCACAGCTTCTCCTGGCAACCTGTTCTACTGCCTCAACATGAGTAATTTCTTCCAAATATCGAATCTCCTCTCTTTTAGTTCAAAGCCATCTCCCTTTGTCTTCTTACTACACTCTCGATAAAGACTCCATCTCCAGCTTTCTAGTAAGCCTCTTTTAGTACTGAAAAGCCACAAGAAGGTCTCCTCGGAGGCTTCTTCTCTCCAGGCTGAACAATCCTGGCTCTCTCAACCAATCTCTGTGAGAGAGGTGCTCCACTACATGGTTTATTCTGCTGTGCATTCATTAACTGAGCTGAAACAGAACAGTTACTTTCCATGAGAAGAAGTCACTATTACTACTTTTTTAAAGTTTAAAAATTTACTGCTGAACATGCTTATCAACACCTTGTCCGTTGATACATACAACTTCTGCTGCTCCAGACCATTTCTTTTGATACTCTCTCCCATAAGTGTTTATTTGTGGCTATGCCTTTTTATGTCATTCTTAAAAATAGCTGAGACCTAAAGATCTCCATTTTTCTTCCCTCTTCTTGGAGTAAGTATCTTCTTTTTAGATAACTGGTCTAAATCCAATGGAGCTGAAGCTATAATGAACTTATTGAGAAATCAGCAAAAAAGATGTTGGATAATCTTGCCTAAACTAACATTAGTAACCATGAAAATAGGTCTCCAGAAAAGTATTTATGCTTGCTATTGCACATTAACCCCATATGTATCCTCTGGGACTTCCCAATAAACACTGCTCTTCAGCTGCTGGCACCAAGAAGTTAAATGGTCTGCATATGTGGTGTAATCAATTCAGAAGGCAGGTAACAGAACCAAAGGGAACAGGCTTTGAGCTCAGTGTGAATGAACTCAAACTTATTTTATCTATAGAAAGTCAAACTAATGGTATAAAGTAAGTAATTCTAAAACATAGAAAAGCTAAACAGTTTTACAAAACAAAAACACAAGCCAAATAAATTTAAATGAAATAATTCTCTCTCTTTACAAGTACTGTAAATTTTCCTTGCACCAATGTAACACTGCACTGCTCAGCTGTGCAGAGACCAATCCTCTTTGCATTTCTGCTAAAAGCTAAGTCTAAGACTAAAGAGATCTGAAATAGTTGTCCGAATAGATGCACAATGAGAATAAGAAAGTCAGAAAAATCAAACTCTTACCTTGGGCAGGATCAGGTGGGCCAAATTCCAAAGAATATCGGAGAATGAAGTTGTTATTCCACACATAGAGCTGGTTGTCTCTGGGGTTGTAATCCACTGCAGCAATGTACTGGTACTGGTTAGGGAAAGGAATATCCACATGCTCTCCTCTGCTCAACCTGGTGTTATAGATGTAATCAATGGAGTTCCTGCCCGTCTCGCTCTCATTGTCCTGATACACGGACCGGACAACATACAAGACACCACATATCATAAATGCATTGGATGCTGCCCGTTTGTCGTATGTCGTCTCCCATGTTGCTTCAAAACGTAGGGTGTAGGGGTTCAGCTGGCTAATTACTATCATCCCGTTGTTCTGCTCCGTAGCATAAATTACCCATAAGCCATTTTCATCAACTGCCAAGTCAATGTCAGTCTTTCCTCCCCATCGGTATGGGGAAGTATCATGGTAATTAGCATAATTGATTATGGCCTCTCCACTCTTAATTCTAGTCCTTAAGTCAAATTTTACTATGTTCCTAGTTCTTTCCTTGTTAAAAAATACAGCGCCATCATATACTACAAATCCAGTACCATCCACTCGATTTGGGAGTTTATACGTTGTCTGCTGGCGTCCATTTTGGAAGTCCTCCAAAGAAGCATATTCTATCAAAGTATCAGTGCGATACGGAGTCCATGGCATGAAGTATATTTTATCTGCAGCCTGAAGAGGATCTTTGCACCAAGCACCTGCTTTTTGTTCAGCTTCATATAAATACGGTGAGTCCACAATTGCTTTCAACGTTCCCGGGCAAACAAAAACTAACAGTCATAGAGAGAAGTAAGACAAGAATTATGTCAAATTAAAACTGTCTCATAATCCAAAAAAAGAAAAAAATAAAAGAAAAAAAGAAAAAAGTAGGTAAATCATAATGACTGTGTCAGGAAGAAAAAAAATCAATTTAATTGGCACTAGATAATACCGTATGTTATAATTAATGCAATTATCACCCGTTATCATCCACTTTTCTTAAAGTTACCATGTTCTTGCTGTACCAGTTTGGAAAGTGGATGGGAACAGCTTTCACTAGTACAGATCAAGGCTCAATGGCATACACAGACAGCTGAAAATGTAGAGCTACTCTTGCATTTTCATCTTAGACTTTTAGTGAGTACACATTAACGTTCCAGAGCTTTTAACTGGTGTGCAGTAGTGTGCTAGGTCATTTCAGTCCAAAAAAAATCACATCGACTTGTTTAGAACTTTAAGAAGTGGTGAGGCTGAAAAAGGAGGTGCCTCGATTAAAAATAAAGGAACAAAACAAATCATCAGGTATATAGAGAAAGCAATTAGGAGCAGATAAAACAAAACACAACCAAAGCAATGAATGAAACAGACCAGGAAACCCTGTAACCATGGCATGCTATGGAGAGGGTTCTGGAAGCCAGGCAAGATGACACTTTATTAACAAGAATTTACCCAAGGGTGAGAGAAATAGAGGGAAAGAAAGACAAAGAGAAAGGGAGAGAAAAAAGCAAGGGAGTCTTCCCTCCAGCCCAAGTATTTCAGACACTATACCCCGCCACCTACTTTAAGCAGCCAAGTCACTTTATTGCAAACAGTCGACTTCTTTATGAGGTGTACTTATGAGATCCTGCTGATTATCATAATATAAGAGTGTTGTGGGGAGGGGAAGGGAAGAGGTTAACATCCATAAGGCACATAACAAGGAGCTGGGGTTTGGACTGTATACGTTATTTACCTTTTTGCTCCACTTCTATTTTAAGCATCGGAAGAAAAATAAAAAAGTGCAAGGAAAAAAGAAAGAAGATTAACATAAATTGACTATTAATCTAAAGATTAAATTAGTAACAGACGCTAAATATAGGGAGAATAAGAACTGCACTATATTGGATAAAGAGAAACAGACAACAGGAAAACCTAGCAGGAGAGAGATTCTATGGTTACATAAGTGAACATGGATCAATCATTTTTGTAGATTAAGGAGGCAATACAGATATGTTGGCATGTTGTTTCACTTAGTGAACCTGAATAAATAATGAATGACTTTACTAATGCATGCTAGATATACTTTTCTTCTCAAACTCAAAGCATACTGCTATCAAGTTGACTTTTAAGAGTGACACATTAATATATCATATATGTGCTAGTGCACATATACTTATTATATGAATTAGATAACTATAAATCCAAAACACAGTATATGAATTACATAGGTATGTATGCGTGCGTATTGAATTTCCCCCCATATTCCCTCAAATTTTACTTCTTGTAAAGAAAGCAGCTTGCATCCTTTAGCTCTCCTTAGCCCCATTTTATTTGTTTGTGTGTAATCTTGAGAACTTTTGCCACTTCTTTATCTATAACTGCAAAATCACACTAGAAGGAATAAGCAAAAACATCTAGAAAAAAGAAGCAAAAGCACAGTAAGCAAGAAGAGAAGAAAAAAATTAACATTTAGCTCATTCAAATATTCTCCATCATCACTGATTAAGCCAGAAACAGCAAGCTAGTATGCGAGGACAGTCATACTAAATGTTTGAAACAAATATCCATTCCACCACCACACATGGAAAATATAAATCAAACCCAATTAACAAAGTTACATTACTATAGCAATTTCTCCCCAAGGAAGTTTTATGGAACTTATTACAGGAAGACTTATAGCTGAAGTCCAGATAGTAAATAGCTTTCCAATAATTATTTGCAATAAAATCTATTTCACATACTCAGTAGCCTTTGAAATATGTTCTCCTAGTTTCATAAAATGACCTGAAAAATGACAGATGCACCAATCTGTGTAACAATAACTGCTGATACCAAGGAAGTGTATCAAAAGTATTTGCACAGTTATTACATTTTCAGTATTATGGTATTAACCTGAAAAATGTATTTGTATGTTCCATATGAAGTTTTGGATTTTCAGTTTCATTTAACAAAATTAAATATGGTTATTTTGGGAGAAAGATATTGACTGAGCTGGCCTAGTGTTCGTTTGGGGAACAATTCCAAAACTCTGTGAGGGGAGTGGGAGGAGGAACATTGTCAAACTGAGCAGTAGTTTTCCTAGCCTTTGTTCATTTGTGCATCTTTAGGTAACAACTGTTTTTCTACATTTTCTAATTCTTCAGTAAACAGAAGATGCATTCTTAAGCAAGTTTCTGAGTTTCACATTCAGTGTTAATGACTTACAGATGATTCTATTTGTGAATTTTCATGTATGAGCTTATTCCTTGCCAAAGAGCAATACTGATACTGTACCTACTTAGAATTAGTAATAGGAGAGTGTGAAAAAGATAGGGATAACTAAAATCGTTACTGGCACATCTTCTCAGAGTGCATTGGTGTACAGCTGTACAGTTTTCAGGGACAGATGGGCTTATTGAAATAAATAAATGCTGCAAAGTCCAATCAATACAGACAGAGAGAGTATAAAGCACTTTAAAACATTTTCTATTGAATTCTTGAGTCCAAAAAAAGCGTAAAATAAAAATGCACAGATGTACAAAATGGTACTTTTGATGTACTTCTTAATGAAAGGGCAGACTTCTGTTACTCAGTCAGTGTCAATATACACTGCGAAGCAGAACTGAGAGAAATGTCAAGTATGATACTCTCAATTTCTTTGTAATTTAATCAATAGCACTCTTATTTTAAGACAAAGCAATGCCTATCAAATTTGTCTAGAATTTTAGTTTTGTTGGAGATCCAACTGAGTATTTCAATAGATTTTTTTTTCAGCTAAATAGGATTAGAAAAACACTACTGAACAGTTCTACATTACAAGATGCAAAAAAGTAAGCTTTTCATTAAGTACATTCTTATGAGGACAATGAATACTGAGCCCACAGAAAGCTCAGTCAATATGCATGGATAGCAAAGCAGCTACATATTTCTGAAGGCCAGAAAATAAGAGTTGCTCATAAACTGCATTTTGTACAAGGGTGACACCAACTCCAACATGTAAGAGCTCTCAACTTTTATCACAAAAGTAACAACTGCTAGTTGTAATCTCTCATGAGCTGAAAGTTGTCAACATAGCATATTTTGTGTATTAATTGAAGGTAAAAATCAGATAAAGTAAAAATCAGAACTGAACTTTGGTTAGAAGCGTTGTGATGACTAAACACCTCTCTTCCTAGACCCACAAAAGCCTATCCCATCTTCTTTGCAAACCTAATGATTTCAGTCATTCCATATGTTTAGAAGGGCAGCCCTGGAACAAGTAAGGGAAAAAAAAATATCAGACTTGATAATGGATGTTGATCAAGACTTGCAAGAATATCAGGACAAGCTTTGTGGGACATGGAAAAAAGATGGTCAATAATCAAAACGGCAGCACTATGAGGCTTAAAATTAAACTTCAAAACTGATTCTAATAGCTGTCAACCTTTTTTGATGCTTGTAACAACACTTGACTCCTCTTACAATTCTGGAATTAAAGGTGTAGTGTCATCACTGTACATGATGCAGCTAACAAACTCCAAATCTCGGACTTGGAAAGACAAGAAGTATCCAGAATCCTGAGTTATGATAGACATAGAATTACAGAATTCAAGGGGCAGGCCAATGCAATTGACAGTAAACAAAAATAAACATTTAAAAAGCAGAATAGCTACATGTTAGAGTACAGGGTAGGCCGCGCTATACTTCTGAAAACTGAAAAAGAAAAGATTCCTGTAGATAGCAATACCCAATTGGTAGAATATATCCACAGTTCTCTTCCTAAAACAGCATAAAAAATTGTTTGAACATTATTTGCATTATAGCTTTTCTCTATGAACTAGCCTACTGGAACTGGAAACGTGATCTCTTGTCATATGACTGACCCCATCGTTTGGAAACAGTTGCACTGCCCTCTTTCTGAGAATTTGGAAATGAGAATAGAGCTAAAGTAAAAGTGATCTTTGTGGAACAAAATTTTGGTTAGATTGGGGTAAGACATCGCTCTTAAAAAGTGGCACAAGAAGAACAGGCATAACAAGCCAACAATACTACACACAGGAGGAATGATATTTGGGATCACTGTATGCAGTAGGCTTCCAATCCTACAAATGGTACAGAAAAAAAATCAGCAAGCATCCATTTCACAATGACACAGCAGAAATGAAGAGAAAACAGATGATCTGTGTTTGGCCTTTAACAACAGTGAATGATCAATGTGATGAAGCAATACAGAACAGTATTTCAGTTTAAAACAACTTAATTTAAAAACTGAGCAGTAAACACTATGGACAGTTTTGACATAGCTTTGCTTATGCCAGAACTCATTTCCTTCCTTTTTGGATGTATACTGTCACCACAGTGTTTCTGCATCTCAGAGTTGGCCTGTTTCCTGTACCAACAGAAAATGTGACTTTGGTTAAGGATTACTGCAGATCAAGAGATTCACACTTAATAATAACTTAAGGGAATGATCAGTGCACTGCTCAAATTCCATTGCAAGCACAGCTATTTCTCTGTGGAGTTACAGGATGAGAGATTAGTCACTGCAAAGAATGACCTTACAAGAAAGCAAAACCAGTTAAAAGTGTTGAATCTGCAGAAATTTTATACACGTGAATACATGTCAATGAAAAAAAATATATATATATTAATTATTACAAGAAAATAAGAAGCATGTCTAAAACTAGTGAATTCTGGCATTAGAAAGAATGTTGTACAAAACTGCTGAAATGGCTATTACTTTACATTTTTTTATCTCAATGTTTTCAGTATTTACTTTTTTCTGTTAATGGTTCTGTTTTGACATCTGATTTGAAGACACAATTCACATTTTTTGCTTTATTATTATTATTAAAAGTGAACAACTCTTCTTGCTCCTTTTCCCACTGTTTTCAAGAAATGTGGTTTAGTTACTTAGTGATGAATTATTCACTATGAATCACAAATCCTAGTGAGTTCACTTAACGAATGTGCCCCTAAAGCACAGTCTTCTTACAACACCTCCTGAGCAGGAGTGTTAGTGCTGGGTTTTGCTGTGCACCGAAATTCACCATGAGAGCCTTTCAAGTAGATCATGATTAAACCTGAAGTCAATTTCTTCTTTAGAAGTCTGTGAGCCAAGCCAATTTGTCAGCAACTGGTATTGGGCAAAAGTACAAATTTCTATCTGGCCTATTGAATAGCTAATTTGAGTTTGTTTTCTGGAAAAACAGTAGCCTTAAAAGCCAAACACTTAAGAACATAGACAGACACTTGGCCAGCATTGCACCATGGCTTCCTTCCACACTTCGTGAAGCTAATTGGAGGCCCCAGTCTGTAAGTGCTCTGCATGCATAATGGATCCGTGGGCCATAAACATATGCTTCATTTCCATGGAACAGCACTCCAGCTTTAATTGTGAGGGCCAGGGGAAGTGAATAAGAATAAAAAGATTATACTTACTGTAAGGAACGCATTCATATTGAACTTCTAGATACTTGTATGTTCCAGGACAAGGATCAGGAAACACATCTGACCCAGTAACTACTATACACTGTGTTCGGTTGTTGCACCTGTAATGGGAAAAGAAAGCAGGCTAATTAATTTAAGATTACATTTAATTTGCAAGTTCATGCTAAAGTGCTATGTACAGCACTAACTTTCTTCACACTTGGGCAGTTCAATCCATAAGACAGCAAAGTTAATTAATACTAGATCAGTCAAAGTCCATAAACAGGGCTTCAAGACAATACTTCAGTTCAGGCTTAACACTCTTAAATTTGGGTATCATTGGTATCCCAAATATCACTCATTTCAAGTAGCCAGCATAGCTGCCCCAAACATATACTGACTTGACACTACTATTCAGTAAAGTCAAAGCAAAATACTAAGTTGATATACAACTTAAAAAAAAAAAAAAAAAAAAAAAAAAAGTGTAAATGTGAGTAAAGTACATTCACACAAAGGACCAATTCCTTTAATCTCTCCAGATACACATTTGAATGGCTTTATTTCTCAGAGAAACGTTTGTTGCGATTGAAGGTAACCATGATTTTGGTTGGAAGAGCTATTGCAGACAAAGAACATCAGTATTTCAATTTTAATTATTTTAACAGCAATTGGTGTTCTTTATGCTTCCCCTGTTAAGTTACAGGAAAAAGAATGACCGTCTGAGGAAATTAGAAAAAAATTTAAGAAGAACTGCAAGAAAATTAATTACAAAGTATTGTAGAGGAGACAAAATACTGAAATATAAATGATTTGTTGAACAATAGAAGCCAATGCATTTTGATGCAAAGAACAAATTCATTGCAGTGCCTCCAGCCATAATAATTTTATGAGTTTAATGGTTTTTAAAGTGGGTTTTTTTTGTGTGTGTGTGTGTCTTTTTTTCTTTTTTTTTTTAATAATTATCTGTGACTTCCAGGCCAAATATAAGATTAGAATTTTAAATGAAAAAAACTATCACCTAACTCTGAAGAGATGGTCAGAAAGAAATATAGAAAAAAACAGAAGTATTACAATGGAAAAGAGAAGATCAGGGAGTTTGGTGACTAAAAGAAAAGGGAGTTTGGCTGATCTTCTCAGGGGTTACTTTTGTTTGTCAGCAAACTGAATAAGAGAGGTCTGAACTTAAGTAATAACCTAGCCTTTGACTCCAGCTGTACATCGGCTTCTCTATTGCCTACTACTTCCCACACTCCCTGAATAACAAATCTCAAGCTAAAATAATCTATCTTGTACCAACAGCTTTCTCCAGCTGTATTTTGCCAACAGGTATAAGAGTGATTCTTGCTATCTCATGAGAAGTAGAACAAGCCTATTTGAAGAACTCAGATACAAACAATGTTCCTATTTACCTTCTAATCAAGCTAGCAGTGAACAGGTTCAAACAAACTGAGACTCCTGCAGAGTAAACTCAGAAGCAAAATCTTTTCTGACTTTATTAGATCATTTGTCTTTTTTTCTGTTCTTTTTTTTTTAATTAAAAAAAAAAAAACCTATTTATTTTGTCTTGTGATGCTCATAATTTCAAAACTGATTGCAAATAACCCACACAAGCCAAGATAGGCAGGCAGGTAGATGGTGAGGAGCTCACTTTGTGGCCATCACTTGTCAGTCAGCCCAGTACTGTGCCACTCAGGCTGCCAACATCACTCACTGCAACAGCCCACACAGTGTACTAGGGTTTGGAGAAAGCAGAATGCACACTGGTTTTCAGAGCCATGTGGAAGTGATGCAGAGTCACAGCACTGCTCTCAGGTGCATGATGTAAGAGGAGGCTGCAGAACTAGGAGGAGGCAACATGATCCTAAACTTCACAGACCTCTTTGGTCTTACCACTCTACCAGGTTTTTAAACCCCACAGCTGAAGTCAGACAAACCAGCACACAAAAAGTAATATTTTGTAATTAATTTCTTTAAATTAAAATGAAGCCATAAGCATTCCTACAAAAATATTCTCTGTAGTGCATCACCCAATGTAATGGCTTCCACAGCTTTGAGCTGTATGAAAATTTCATCTTACACTTGAAAGAGCAGCAATTAAGAAAGAAATATTGATTTATTACAAAATAAAATGGATACACATTGGGAGGAATGATGAAGATCAGTTTCAAACTTGTATCAAAAGGATGTATAATGATAATAAATCAGAAGTGCACTATTTTTCTCTTATTACAGTAAGAGCCAGTATCAAATTTCAGGCACTGAATTGCTGACTTTGTAAAAACTATGACTATTGACTATTTCTATAGGTAAGAATTTATGTATTCTGCATATGGTCACCTCCTGCTCACCTTTGGCCAAAATGAAGGAGATCACAGTTCTAAAATGCAATGATCTATGCCTGCTGCTGAAGTACGCAGTAGTACTGCTCAAAGCGTCCCCGTTTAGAGCAAGAGCAATTATGTGTATAACTGAAAGAATAAAGATTTTACATCCAAATCACTGACCTGTATTTAGGAATAAACTGCTGCTTGCATTTTTAAAAACTTTGTAACCTTTTGGCATAAGATCCTGATTTCCATATTCTTCTAACATTTCAAATTAAAGTATCTTGATTTATACATTCACATGTAAAAAAAAATAAAAAATAAAAATCCACATTCAAGTAACTGTTTGTTACCCAGTTAAGTTGGTCATAAACAACAGCAATTAGAGCAGTTTTCAGTCCCAATTCAAGGGTTCTAGAGAAGAGATGAAGGATATTTGGGCTTTGAAGAGGTAGTTCTGAGACCAGCCATTCAGAGAATTTACAGTATTGTCATTTGTTCTCTGGATACAAAGTAGTCTTCCTTCTTCAAAATTGTTATTTCTTTCCCCCTATAAAACCTGGGACACTAACTTCAGTATTAGTTATTGACCTATGCTTCTGCTGCTGCCTGCAAAGACCATTCTACGAACTGCTAAAGGGCTCAGCTGACATTCTTTATGTCAGATATATTGGCCAAAGGATACTCTATATAAAACAGCATCTTATCTTATAGAGCTACAGAATATCAAGTTACCTTACTACCACTTCAGCAAAGGTTCACAATTTTGTGAAATCTATACATTTAGAAATACTATGTCCAACGAAAACCATACTACACTGCTACAATCTGTGCAACATAATCCCCCGGCAGATTTCTATTTCGTTTTGAACTTTATGAACGTGGCTACTTCATGGTATTCTCCAAAATAAGATCTAACAGAAATAAAATTCCCGGATATTTGAAAAACTGGCCCAGACACCATCAGAAAACAAAAACAAAAAGAAACAAACAAAAGATCAAAAAGACTTGCCAACTAACTTGAAGTCCTTCATGCATTTTAACCAGCGTTATTTTTACTACACAACATTCTGTTCATTCAGTTCATCCAACCAAACTGTTTCACAACTGTTCCTACTGGTACAAACTAGCATTTGTTGTTGCTGGGAATTTAAGAAGTCAAATCACAAACATTTTAATGTTTAAGTGTTTGCAACCTAGTGTTTAAGTGTTCTTTGGTTTTAAGTATCATTTAAGTGTTCTGTAATCTAGTTAACTGCATACTTTCTTGGCATATTTTAAACTATGCAAATTCACAGATTTTTATGTACAATCTTAAAGTTCATATGATCTGACACTGAAATACCTTCACACTTGAGACATTCACGATATTCACAAAGATTTATGATACCGTGACTTTGTCATTTACGAGGAAATAAAGCAGATCTGCAAAAAACAGCTGATGTAGAAAAAGTAATGCACGGATTAAGTATGAAACCCGACTTAGGGAAAGACTAACAGTAGCGCTGAAAGAATGATGATTCAAGTTCCTGTGCTAACACAGCATGAGTTTTGCAAAGGAGAATGTAGGAAACATCATTGTTCATGTGAATGCAAGGAGTAACTGAGTACTCTTAACAGTCATTTCTTCGGTATTTTAGTATGAACGAAGAAAGGTTACATTTTCATAATGCAGATGCATCGCTTAGAGTAATCTAAAAATCAAATGGAGTGTTTAATTAACAGTTACAGTACAGTGTCTGAACTCCTTTCACCTCAGGATGAAAGACTGCAAACGAGGAATGGCCCTTTCACACTTCAGATGACTACAGAAAAAAAAGAAGTAAACTAGTTCCAGCAGTGCTGTTAGCCTGCATCTTCCCCTCACTGTGTAGCCAAGCCCCTTCTTGCTGAGCTCTAAGGACAGCTGTACTTCCCACAATAATTTGTTTGCATTTCAACTCTAATGTTGATTTGTACAATTCCCAACAAATTGCTTTTGCTCTTTTTTTATTATCTTATGCTCCTTATTGTGCTTTATCATTTGTAATGTATGGAGATGAGATTCTATGTGCAATCTATTGTGTGAGGTGTTTTAATCAATAATCTTGTTCTGCTGATTAAGCAGGGGCTTCTGTTTTGGCAAGATAACATTAGTTTCCCCTGTCATGCTCCAAAAGCTATTGGGAATCTTCAGCAGATCATTAGATATGCTACAATAAAGCTTTGGTACATTCTCTTTTCTTTCTTAAATTACTTCTTCACTGTCCTATCATTCTCCGTCACCGCTGGCACTGCATTATTATTATAGCTCCCCTGAAACTTGCACTGGAGCTATGTCTTCAGGCCACAGGATGCCATTTTCAATTGAAGCTTCTGCTTGAAAATATAAATTAAGAAAATTTCATTATCTCCTGCCAAGGGCCATTATTCACCACTGTTCTAAGGAAGATTAAAAATGCAAAGTCTATGGACTTGAACAAATACTCCAGCATTAAAATGAAAAGCCCAGTGCATCGTGACTGGACCAGAAAGTGAAATACTAGAATCCAAGAAGCACATTTTTGAGATTTCAGCATGAGATGGGCCAAAGAGAGGCATGAGATCGTCTTCATGGGTAGGTTCCATATGCCACATGAGATACACACTGTTCCTCTCTAAGCGGTTCTTGCAGTTCCACAAGACATGTACAAAATAATGTTCACATCACAATTTACCCTTCAAATGCTTCTGTTTTATATACATAACTTTGGCAAAGATAGCAACATAAAAGAAAAATCACTGCTAGTTTGAATAGAGTACAGGTTTATGTCTAACAT